ATTTGGGAAAGAAAGTTTTTGGTTTTCTACTACTCCATCTTGATACAAAAAAAAAGATGAGAGAATCTTCCAAAGAAAGGAAGGAAGTAATCAATTTGAAAATAAGTAACTCTATACATGGATGTGTAGATCATGCAAAGAAGTAACTTTCAGACATAAACTGAAAGAAAGTCCTCCTGAAACAGCTACTTTCATATAAACATTGAATTACACGAAAGAAAAAAATTCTTTCGAAACAAATACTTCTATATGAACACTGAATTATACAGAAGATACTTTTCTCTACTCAGTTTGTATTTCAAAAATTTGTTGTGGAATAAGAATCAGATATCATTCACATGAGTTCTACTTTAAATGAATGGTAACAAATTGCACTTACATGTAACACTGTCATCCTCACTGGTATACATCGATGTTTCGCCGTAAGACACTTGCTCTAAGGCTCTTCAGTACCAAATTGGATAACATTATAGAAAATATACACATATAGAAGTATTTGTTACGAAAGAAATTTTTTCTTTCGTGTAATTCAATGTTTATATGAAAGTAGCTGTTTCAGGAGGACTTTCTTTTAGTTTGTGTCTGAAAGTTACTTATTTGCATGATCTACACATCCATGTATAGAGTTACTTATTTTCAAATTGATTACTTGATTACCAAAAACATTCTTTCCCAAAAATTAATAACTCCTAAAAATATAACCCCTTCAATTCAAATATGCCTATGTTCTGAAAATCATTATAGGAAATAAATCTCCAGTAAAAAAGATGTTTTGGAAAGAAATAATATTAAACATCGCCGAGTATTAGGTAATTGAAATGTTTTACATTATAAATTCATGTTTTGGACACCATTTCATCGAAAATCCAATTGGCAAAATCATTTTGTTATTTTATATTTCAACAACTATATAAATACAACTAGGTATATAATTCTGTTAAAAATCTGTTTTTCCGTTAACCAGCTGACGCCCTCACACGAACGACAACTCTCAAAAGTCGAAACTTGTGAGCTCTACTGACTAACCAGGTCTTACCTTTTAACATGTGATTCCTAACAAGGGTTGGACGATAGGAAGTAAAAATGGATCGTCCAGCCTTGCAGTTCGAACCCCCGGTTCACACAACGGTGGTTTGAGTTAGTGAAGCAAACTACCCACGTCAACCCACCAAGCTAGCGTCCCAATACCAATATAGAACCCTTTAATTAAATATTAATTAGCTAACTAACCATTTTTTCTTAAAAGAATTGGTTTGCTTTTTATAACAAACTTTGGGTAAGTGGCAAGTGATATTGAACGCTGATAAATCTTGTGAAGACCTACTTTTTATAACGGTCTTCAAAAAGAGTATTCCTATCAATTAGTGCTCCAAAATTTAAGATTTGCTTTTGATATATTTGATAGTAACTAATACAGGGTTAAAATATGCTCAACAGTAGATATACTATTGTATCATTTAAATAACCACCACACTCAACACAGGTATTGCCACCATTCTTATTCTTAGAACCGTACTATGTATTACCATGCTGGAAAAGGTTTTACATCGGTATTTGATGGAATCGGCCGATACTTGATGAAAATTCATAACGTATTCAAGACACACTTCATTGTAAAAAGGTGTTGAAAGGTTTGAAATCTATTTAAGAACGAATAAGCCAAAAATAATGGATTTTTGAAAAAATATAAAATAACAAAATTATTCAAACAGAAATACTTGGTCGAGTTGATTAAAACAGATGTAATGTCGAAAAAGGCAAAAATTTAGCAAAAATTGTAAGAACGCTACATCGTAACGAAAACAAATTATTATGATTCGAAATGAGACTGAATTAAAAAAAGAAATGTATTAAAAAAATAAGTGAAATGTTAATTATATACAAACAGTTATCAGTCGAAGATGGTTGAAGATAATAATAATTGAAATGTCGTTAAGTAAGTTGGTTTGAAATCTATTGAAACTATTTTTTCCTTGCTAGAACGAAAATGTTGTCTCAACGCGTGCTTCGATAACCAAGTCAGCATCATCAGGGAATGACTAAAACGACACTAGGGAAAAGTGTTTTCAATAAATTGGATATGAAGTTGGTTTGAAATCTTTTTCTTAATAATAATAATAATTGTCTTGGCTGAATGGAATTTTTAGTACCAAACGTTTCTTCTGCTACTGCAGCAGACATCGTCGGTGGTATATGCATCGACTGCAAGGACGCAGGTTATATCTTGAAGTCTCAGCATCTCAGCAATGACTGATGATATCTGGTGCGGTAACAAATATCAACAGATATTTGATATTACAAATTCCATTCAACCTCGACCTACCAGTCCGATTTTTTTTTGCTTTAATCTTGACTCTTCCCATGGAAGCCTATGTTCACATTTTTCACTCATTGTTTTCTTCACAAATTACCTTTCCTAAAATTTCTGCTGTTTTCTCAATGTTTTATTTTTTTGAATAGTTCGGTTAGATTTATTTCAGTATTTTCAATAACCCATTCATAACCATTCAATAACCCATTCATAACCAACAGATTTCATCTGTTGATATTTTTTTTAGACAATGTAAGTCCTAGCTTGTAACATTCATCAAAACCTACATTGAAATTAAAAAAAAATATTGTTTTTTAAAGCACGTGCAAACACCAGTCCAAATAGCTTTCAAAAGGGATTTCATAAAAAAAATTGATATGTCTGTATTGAAAGAGATTCTTGAAATATTGAGATTTAAAAATTTTCAAATTATCAAAATCCATATGTTCTTTATACATGACAAATATTTTTGGTTGGAATATATCCTTTCGAATACCTACTTTTTTTATGAACTGTCGATACCTATGTATAAAATATGTTTTTCCGTTAACCAGCTGTTGTACCCCTACCAACGACAACTTTCAGAAGCCAAAACTTGTGCGAGCTAAGGACTAACGAGGTCTTACCTTTTAACGTGTGGACACAGGTTGGACGATAGCAAGTGAAAATCAATCGTTCAGTCTGCAGCTTGAACCACCTACTCACATATCGGTCAATTGAGAGAGTGAACAAAGCACTCACATCGAACCGCCTGGCTACCAACCTATCTATTGCAACAATAATATGTACTAAAAATCTCAACTTTGTTAGGATTTCAACAAACTGTTATCGATTACTCAGATATTTTATCATGAATATAAGAAATTACTTTGTATAATCATTTTTAGTTATACATTTTAAAGGTATTTTAGTTTTGTATCAAGTCATATAAGTTGGTATGTCATTTATTTATGGCATAATAAACTAGCATTCTACAGATATTCAATTGATTTATATTCAATTATGGCCTCTGATTCATATCCAATTATGGCCTCCTTCAAATAAAACAACTGTTTATAATTTTTGTTATTGTATAAAAAAAATATCATATCATATCTTATGACTTATGAATTTAATCACGTAAATAATAATTATCAAAATTGTGATCACATTTTGGATATCTAGTTATTCAAAATGGTAACTTTCAATAATTTGATCAACATTGTCGAATTTTAGCGGGACTCAATTTGATAATGAATATTATGAACAGATTATGAAGATTATCAAAAATGACTGCTGATGATACCAATTTCAATGATGATACTACCTAATCTAATATATAAAAATGGATGTTTGTTGGTTAGTTGGTTGGTAAGTGATAAACTTCTACATGGCTCAACTGATCGTGATGAAACTTGACAGTTTCAATCTTCCTCTTGAAGATGATCACTTGGTGACCGAAACACGTGTCGAGGTGTTAAAAATAGCGATTTGGTGTTGGGAAAACACTCCAGTAATATTCATGTATAATTAATTTTTCATAGAGAAGGTTTTTAGGCCATCGATTGAAGTGTCTTTTTTAAATACTCATAATTTCCATCAATGAGGGTAATCTGGAAATATAAGCCAAACATTTTTATTGAATACAGACCATGCTTATAAAAAAATGAGTTAATGACAACTGTTACTAAATATCAGAGAGATTTCAGAATGAATCGAATGCCACAAGTTTGGGAAAAGGTGATAATTACACTGAATGACACAGTAAAGAATCTGTATAATCGAGATATTTATTTAAATAATGAATCTGCACTGAATCTGTAACTTCATTGAATCAGTTCCTTAAAAAAATAATGAGAGAAATAAATAAATATGGCAACTCTTCAGAAAAATATGTAAGCATCAGTTCTATTTGGAAAGTAGACTTGGAAGTAGAAAATACTGTTGCTTTCCTTAGATTAATTTTCTGTTTTGGGTTTAGTAAAACGCTTATTGAAAGATGATTAGTTTAAATTTTATAATTAATAAATACCCCAAATATAAATGAAAAAAACAATCTAAAACAACTTCTGGTAGTCAGTCGGCTCACGTCACTCTATTTTCAATAGATGCATTTTCGTTCGCTGATTACGAATAATAAGTCAAAACTTAGTGCTCTATGTACTTGAAAGTCAAAACCATTGAAAGATCCTGTGCTAGGAATCACATGTTAAAGGGCGACTTTCTTAGCTTGTCCACGTTCTGACTTCCGAGGGTTGACATAAGAAAGCATCAGCTGGTTAATGGAAAACAGATTTTCAAGTGATCAGCCATTTCAGGAACTCTCTTCTAGTAATAAAAACTTGTAAAGTGGCACCTTCTTTTCATGAATACATACTGTGAACCTTAATTCACTTGTCACTTTCATTTTCTTTACACAGAACATTCAATTTCCATTAAATTATATTTTTCCCCTACAAAGTACATACTGTTATGAACACAATGACGTTTTTTCTTTTATTTAAAATTGAATCACGAATCAAAAAAGGAAATGAGACTGAATTATCAAAGGAAATATGTTTGAAAATACATATACGTAGATGACCTCATCATTCCTTTAAAAAGTTGCTGTTGATATTGGATGTTTTCATTTTTCAGATATCAAAGTAGAAAACCAAATGAGGCTTTTTCAACAATCATTAAAAAATATTTTTTCATAAATCTCACTTACCTTTGTGTCTTACTAAAGTCATATAAATAACTAGCGCCCTCCTGGACGAAAACTTCCAGAGATACTGAAATATGTTCACTTCCTGGTGATATATGATGAGGGAAAAATTTTAGGAGAGTGTTGGCTCTATCAAAAACTGCAGCAACCTACAAAAAGATTGTGAAATAATTCTAAACATGTTTAAATACAAAAATCAAATGTATATTATGAGGTAACAAAAAACTGAAATAAGACACCAAGTCAATTTTGAGCAGAATGAAAGTCCAAAATCACACGTATGGTATTATCACTACGTAGCATGAGGTATCGTTTGTCACTCACCTTGTTCTTGTAACATTCATATAATCTCAACATCAAATGTCTAAGTGGGATTTCTAAAATCTGTAAAAGATACAAATTGATTTTCTTTATTTCACAACGAATAACAAATCTCCTTTCGCAAGGCAATTGAAATAATCCAACTTACTTTACATCCACTTGCATACTTGCAACTTCAATGCGTGAAAAAAATCTACCAAATCAGTGTAGCCAACGGCGCTGAGGCGTAGCTTCTTTTCGCTTGGTTCGCACTGTGCTATTGGTATCAATAATGACAACTGAAAGCTCCCATCCGTCATATTCTTCCGTATATAACTTGAAGAAAAGATACATTTTATCCTAACTAGACATCGCGCTTCTCAGAAACGTCTCTCTGACTGGCGAAGTTTACGTTCTGTCGGAACTGGACGCCAATCATTATCCAGTAATCCTGGTATTGGGTGATGAACTTTCTTCTCCTGATTATCGCGTGAGATCATCGACAGATTGGGACATCTTCTCAGCTCATCTCAGAGAGATGCGCTAGCCTCCTGAGGCACTCCGCTCTCCCGACAGCTCCAGAAAGCTCCAGGAGCCGATTCGATAACCAATAGGTTATTGAAGAGGCTCCCAGACAACTGCGTCGAGAACCTTTTAAATATAATAAACAGTTCGCTGGCTCTCAGATATTTCCCCAGAAGATGGAAGCATGCGATCGTCATTATGCTCCCGAAACAGAGTCAGAACCCGCTGTTCCCGCAGAACTATTGCCCGATTAGTCTGCTTTCGTCGGCGGCTAAGGTGGCTGAAAGAGTCGTGATGCAAAGGCTCAACGAAGAAGTTGAGGACCGAAATGTTCTGTCTAATGAACGATTCGGATTCAGGAGGGACCACTCCACCGAGTTACAGGCTCTGAGACTGGTCAAAAATACCATCCAAGAGCTAAATCACAATCGTAAAGTTCCCGTAGTCCTTTCGGACATCTCGAAAGCCTTTGACCGTGTTTGGCACGAAGGCCTTCTACACAAATTAGACGCGTTCGACCTGCCTCGGGGATTGATCCGGTGGATCGGGTCTTTCCTGAAAGACAGTACTTTTCAGGTCCAGAGTAAAGAGCTGTGCTCTCTTCCACGTTATACTCGCTATACACTAGCGACCTCCCTAGATCCGAGCGTGTGAAAGTAGCTCTCTACGCCGATGACACGGCTCTCCTCTCATCTTACATGGGTCGAGAGCTCGGGATCGTCTATATGCAACGTGCATTGGGCGACCTCGAGCGCTGGTACCTTGAGTGGAAGATCCGAGTGAATCCAATAAAAACTCAGGCGATAACCATGGGAAGAACGATATCTTCTCCGGCTAGGAAAGTAAGGGTCTCTGGAATTGAGCTCGACTGGCAAGCGCGAGTATAAAGTACCTCGGCCTTCTAATAGACCACGGGCTCACTTGGAAACCACACATTATATCAGTCAAAACAAAGATCGTGAGCCGAATAGCCAGTCTCTACCCTCTGATCAACAAAAGATCCAAAATGAGTCTAAAAAATAAAATTACCATCTACAACAGGATGTTCAAGCATTTCATCATGTATGCTTCAGGCGTCTGGGGACAAGCGGCTTTGTCTGATATCTTCATTGTGGAGAGATTGCAAAGTAAGTTGATAAGGATGATTGTGAATGCTCCTTGGTTCGTGCCGAATTTGACGTTACGTAACGTTACGTCAAATGTCAGTTTCTGTATTATTTTGAACGTTATAATTTTTTATAAAGTGCTGATAACTTTTGATGAAATACATTGTAAGGATGTAAAAAATGAACATGGGAAATTATTGTATGCAAAAATCCAGATTCTCATTGAGGTTAGGGAAAATTGAAGAGTTTGTTTTCATTATTGAAATGACATAAATTGAATCATTCCAAGCTGGCTAATCTTATAATTAATGACGTCACTACGAATCGTTTTTGAATACACGCTTGAATACGATTAAACGCCAGAAAACACCTTAGATCTTTGAAACTATGCAATGGATTTTGATACGGGTTTTTCAAATAGAGTGATTCACAAGGAAGGTTTATATATGTATATAACATGCATAATATAGCAGGGAAACATTGATAATTTTAGAGTTTTCTAATGTGATATCGTAAATAAACACATTTTTGCGCTTACATTGCAAACGCTGGCTGAACCCTACGAGATAGATCAAAATAATGTAGTACAGTTTTGTACATCTTAAAAAGGTCTACAAAAAAAGAACCGACTCTTAGGGATAACCCACCATAAACATTTTCATCCTTGGTATATAATGGTTTATTTACGAAGCGATTTCAAGCAATACAACATTGATGCTTATCCAATTAAGTACCTTAAATACATTGTGCATTTAATATAGATCAATATGGCCCCTTACAGCATGTAATTTGAATGAATATTTTCGAAGATATTACAGATTTAAAATGCAGGGACATAGCGGTTGCGGCGGTATTGGCCGGCGATGCGTGCCTATAGATAGCGCGTCGAAGGCCGCGCTTTGCTCTGTAGCACTTTATGATTAGCAGCGATCGCACGCGTTTATATGTATACTTAGTATCAGCATTGCACCCGTGCGTAGCCGGGGTGGTTCGCCAGTTGATAATAGGATCCATTGTAATCGATCTATTACTTTTGGGTCATATATATAACGTCATTACGTACAATCGAAAGTAGTTTATGGCCACAGACCACATGATCTATTGGTATTCTGTGTCAAGATGCAATGAGAATTTAAAATTTGTTCCTGATTTGAGTCGTCGCGCAGAACGAGAATATATATTTTAAAGAATATGAAAGATCGCAAAAGCTCCAAACGAAAGGGTTTACTAGTTATTTAGTGAGTGACTTGTGGAAACGTTTTCAGTGTGACAACACTGAAAAAACATTTTATTAGCTTCCAAAATTATTTTTTTATGATACTCGTTTCTAGTATCAACTGGGCAGGATAATGATGATATTCAGCATTAAGGTAGCGTATCCTATATGCATCTATAAGAAGTATCTATATAGTTCCCAATTTATCAAATTTAAAACAGTTGTTATATAATCATTCATAGAATAAAGATGTCATCAGCGAGTTATTGAATATTATGAAATGCTTCAGCAGTAGTAGGCATCGTAAGTATTCGATAATTTGTAGCAATCTATATTTCTAGCTATGGTTGCTGAACCTATAGGTACCTGTAGGCGAAGAGATTCCTGTAGGTTGAAAGAGCCATCATAGTGACCTGTTGAAAGTTTCATACCATACCGTTAGATGCGTTAGGTTTAGTAGAAATTCGCGGATTTTCAAATAAAATCCATAAATCGGTAAATCCCCGAATTGAAAATAAGTGAATCCCCGGAGAAAAAAATATTAATAGATCGCGAGCTGGAATTCATTCGAATTAGACAGCATTTTACGAAAGTAGGGCGTGCGACTGAATCGATAAATTGTTTTAATTTAAAAGTGAGTGCACTGAACCAAAAAGAATTAAGGGGAAACATAGAGCTCAGGTAAAAATTGATGTTTAAAAATGTAACAAGTAGTATTTAATTTTTTTTATTGTTTTAGCAATTTAAAAAGTCATGGATTGAATTGCCTGAATATAAATCTTGGATTCATTCTGTACCTGAAAATCCATATAAAGGAAGACGTACTATATCAGAAAAAGCAGTAATTTCTAAAATAGATACAGTTTTTAGAAATTTTTATAGGGAATTTCTACTTTGTTACATGCAGCGACAATATGTAAATACGACCCGACTATCAGTAATTGATCCGGCAAACCAAACTTTCTTTTTACCAACAAATCAAATGTATCTCGGAGTAGAGATTTTTAATGAAATAAAAAAGCCTGAAATTTCTCAGAGACCTGATTTATTGCAGCACTTTTACAACCGCTGTCAACAATTTTACAGCGTGCTTTGCACTGAAATAAAAAAAAAATATGACTTTGATAATCCTAATATTGTCAAAGTTACATATTTTTTCTCCAGAAAATGCCATTTCCCATCAGATTCGAGAAAATTATCCATCTTTGGTGGAGGTATTGAACCAAATGCCTCGACTTTTCAAACCCGATACTGCACAACTAATAGATGATGAATGGAGGATATTTCCAAGCTACAATTTTCCTCAAGGATACACCGACGAGATGAACGACGAAATTGACATTTTTTGGGTAAAACTGTTTAAATATATAAAGATGAGGCAGGCACTTCAACTTTTATAAATCTGTCGCGTTTTGTATTATATATATTATCGTTTCCTCATTCTAACGCAGCATTCGAAAGACAGTTTAGCAAAGTTAATTTAATTAAAAGGAAAACCAGGAATTCGTTAATTGTCAGTACGCTGAATGGTTGCCTTCTTACAAGGCAATGCATGAAGAAGGAAGGAGGAAGTTGCATAGACTTTTCCCCAACCAAAGATATGGTCTCACGTATGACAAAAACCAATATGTACCCCAAAAAAATAGAAGAGCTTCATTTAACTGAAGATGAATTTTCAATAGACGACTAGACAGTTACATATTTCGAATATTTTTTTATATTCATTTTATTATGTACTCCATATGTATTTTTTTGCTATATTATTGATGTTCTTTTTTTTATTTAAACTAAATAAATGACTTCTTGTTTTTCTTTCATTTCAAAAATATTATAGTTCGAAAGTACTACTTATTTAAAAATTAAATTAAAGTCGCTAATATATACATTTTCTATGTGTTCAGTAATTTGATTCAAAATACGGTAATTTCTCTCGGTAAGTACGGTCCTGCAGATCTTCGAGGTTGGTAGCACTGCGCTCAACACAACTCTACTTATGCTTCTCGATCGTTTTGGAATCCAGAATATTCCTATCTGCTTCCCGAAGACTTCATTGGGATATATAAGCATTGCCAACAGGCAAAGGAGGCGAGAAGTGAAATAAAGTTGAATTCGATCCTAAACTTATTTTCTCAACAGTTTTTTGACACTAATTCACAAGCAAAATGATTTTTATTCAACTAATTTTTCTAGTGAAACGAATGTTTTTAAATAATATATTCAAAATGGGAAACTTCTACGAGCTAAGGACTAACGAGGTCTTACCTTTTAACATGTATCAACCAACACGGTCAACCAATTAATTGCTATTTCACTAGTAATTCTATAAATTTTATAGATAATACTTATGAAGCGGAAAATTTTCCACTTGTAAGTGAATTTTTGTATATTTGATTTATTGTGTTGTGTAGCGTTTCTCATAAAGGATGTTCGTTTCAATATCCATTAACATAGTATAAACTTTGTACTATGCTATTACGAATGTTTCTTGTACAAACAGAATGAAAACGTAATTTCTATATTTTTCACAAAATTACTTATATCGGAGTAAGATCTACACATTTTTCTTAACAATTTCTACTGATAATTTGTGTTTTCTTTTATAGTTTCTCTCTTTGAAAGCATTAAAAGGTAAACCAGATTTTCCCCGGAAAATTTGCTTGAATCTGTGGAGAAAAAAATTTTCATTGCTGGGGCCTGAATTATTCACTTTGGTTCTTTCCAATTCATTCCTTCTTTATGTACTGTTGATTATAAGATATAAAAGAAACAGCAAGTACAGTTTGTATCCTTTATTAAACAGGAATACAATTTGATCTGCTTTATTTCAAATGATCCATAAATTCAAATAACAAAATATATAGATAAAATATAATCTACTTTTACGTATGAGATGTCACCTATATATGAGAGTGTGCGTAAATAATAAACACAATTCAAAATATACAGTAATCTCTAGAGTGATCTTGTCAACATTTGTAATATATTTACAGGCATGTTTCCACATATAAGGTATATCATAAAAACTTATGTTTGATACGAATTCCTGAGTATATTGTTGTATTTCCAACAATATACGCACTGAAAATGGTCTAGGTACAAGAAGCAAAAGTAAAAAAAAAATTTCTCATTTCATTTACCATATAGGATAGTTTTTGTTGATTTGAAAGAAGACAATTTTCAAGAACTCTCGGATCAACTGAAAATTGTATTTAAATTTTTGATTATTTTTTCCACCCTCTGTACACAACAATCAGCTTTTTTGTTTCTGACAAATTGATGTTGAGAACCGCCCATATTTGTCTCTCAATATTTTTCAAATTGTCAAATAGCCATCTAATTTTCTTTTTATTTCTTTACCATTTTTATATGTATGTATAGGTTTTTCTATGAAGATCGGAGATTTGCCTCAAATTACTTTATCTTCTACAGAAACAACAAAACTAAAACTGCAATTAAAATAGTAAATATTTATATACACATTAAATGCAATTTGAAAGCACAGAATTGTTTAGTATATAAAACCTGAACCTTCACATTACTTTCCTAAAGAATCATGAATATTTTTCTTGATAGGAATTAATTACACATTTCAAGAAATCCTTCAAAAATATCTACGACATGAAATAAAGGATCCTGAACATATTTCAGATATTTGTTTTTTTTTAATAAGTGGAAAAATGGGTATGCTAAACTATGCCAAGTAGAATAAAATTCATTTAATACTATTGATTGAATCGAATTCAGTGAAATTGATTTGCAGAAATGTTTCATTTTTGGTTATATAATTCTAATTATATGTCAATTTACAATAACTTTAGTCGCGTGATATTCTAGTAACAGTAGAAAGTACCAAAAAACTGCATAAAATGATTTTTATGATCAATTTTTGAATTAGTATTATTTCATTATCATTTCTCAATTGCAAGTATTGGCTAGCAATAGAAATCCACTCAAAAAATGTATCAGATATAAAAGTTACTTTAAATACAGTCAACTTTCAAATATATTGCATTATCTCCAAATGAAATATAATTACAAATTCAACTCATCACAGTACAAAAAAATTTAGAAAACCCCCAAACTCATCTAGTAATAGTGCTTTCACTGAATATTTTCAAAAAATACCAAAAAAATGTCAACCAATCTTTGGAAGAAGACAGTTTCAAAAAAGGAACACTGATTGATTATTACCAATAGATGACTTCAGCAAGATCAAATTAAAAAAAAAGATTTTATTAAATATATTCTTGACCCAAACAAAAATCATGTGTACAATGTAAGACTTACCTGAAAATTAATCGACCAAAGATCATCAAAATCAACTGCTTCTCTTGATAAATACTTCAGCATACAGTTAAATGTGCTACAATGAATGATAAAAGAGATCAAATAAGTCATTCTTGGACGGATGAAATTTTGCCAAGAATTTAATGCAACATGCCATTTTGACTTTTCGATGACATTCAGTCAGTAATCTTTTTGAAAAAATTAAAAAATGCATATAACTTTCGGTTGACTAAAAGAAAATTGCATTAATCGAACTCTGCTTTTTTTCTATTTATTCAAAACCTAAACATATTTACTATTATCATTATTATTATAGGTATAATTTATACAAGTGAAGAAAAGCAAACTTCTAGTTCACCCCAATAAGTTACTATTTAAATCCAACATAATTTTCTCATGAATAAATGTGCTACTTAATAACTTGTTTATTAATTTTGTCTACATAAAAGGCGTCAAATATTTAATTAGTTCTTATCTTGACGTCTGAGAGACCAGTTTGCTCTATTATCAAAATATAAAACAAATTATATCTAGCAGATCTTGTCATCACCTTCGACGACGAAAACCCTTGCCACGAGAGGGCGCTGAGAGGCGTGTCGTCAGTTCTCGTGGTTCTTTCTTCATCAACATTCAGATAAAATGAATTCATTTGACTTATGCAAAGAGGAATTGGGAAATCTTTGAAAGGGTAGTTTGAGAACAGCGAACGTATTAAGTGGTAATGTGACAAGTACTACAGCCTAGTCGGAGCCAATTTCTTATGTGTCCTAACAAAAATGGTTTTGAATATTGCAGGTGTCATCATTTCTTAAATATGTGATAACTAAAAATAAAAAATATGCGAATGAAAGGTTGAAGATGTTGAAAATACTACAACCCAAATATTTCAAAGAGCTAGTTACAAAAAATTTACATGTTAACAATGAAAATTTTTATAAAATAATGCAGATAAATATTGAAAATTACATCACGGCGTTCATTTGCCCTCCGTTGATGAATAGTTCATTTTTATTAATTAACTAAGGGTTAGTTGGGTAAAAGGCTCAATTTTTCTTTAAAAAACAGTTTTCTTGCCAACATTTCGAATGTAATTGAATTATTCTTTGGGGCTCGAAAAGGAGTTCTTTCGTATTGAAAATATAACTACTTTAATATACTCAGACATAAGTTACACAATAAAAATAAAAAACACTCAAATTGATTTCACGCTGTAGGACGCCTTACTATAGCCCTATAATTTTAATTCAGGCATATGGCAAAATACCAAAAACTTTTTCCGCTATATAATCTAAAATACCTGAAATTACATTTGGATGGCATTTAATGGAATGGATCCTGAAACAGTAACAAATCTTCTGATTCATACCAAAATGTGCTAACAAATTATAATGTATAAGAAAATGAATGATTAGAAATAAAATTTCGAAATATTCATCTCTCCCAACTACCTACACACTCGGTTCTGGTAAATGCCTGCCAGAAAACTACTTTTCCGGCTAATATCACGCTGGATATTGGGTTATATTCGAGAGACATTTATGCAAGATACCTCAAGATACCTAAGATAGTCTCGTAGGTGTTTCTCGTTCATTCATCAGCAGGACCACGCTGAAATTATTTGAGTAGATCACCTACAGACTGGTTTCAAGGTATCTCCTCGATACAGTCGTCAGAAAAATTATAATGTGTTGTTGATTTTCAACTTTAGAAGGTTTTTCTTTCTTATATATAAACTTTATCAGTGTCATCGAGATTCAAAAGTAATTGAATATTTGGAATGTTCTATCCTAAGCATAAGTACGATTCAATCGCAAAATATGCAAAATTAAATGACGTAAGTTTTATAAAAATGTTTGTAACTCAACTTCCATTTTAATTGTCGTGAAAAGATGTTTATTTAGAGGTTAACTAGAATAGAAAATAAAATTTCGCAAATGGAAATATTTCAACTGTGTATTTGAAAATGGGTGTCTTGAGGATGATCAGAAAAGGTTGAAACGTGAGCATTAGCGGATGCTGGTCGATATACAAGCTTGGAAAAAGAGACAAGGCAATATTTTTAAAGAAGTTCTTAATGCAGTGCTCTTAACGCAACTAGACTGTTGGTTTTATGAAAAAAACTCAAAAAAATACCACACTTGATTCAAAATGAAAACAATGTTTCTTAATGTTTTGTTCCCAGAAGGATTGTCAATATAACTCTCTCTGAATTTCTCTAGTTATTAGAATAATCATGAAAAAGAAAGTCACAGAACTAACAGAAAGTGCAGTGAATTTTTTCATAACAAATAATGTAAATATTTCTCAAATGTTTAAGATCTTTTTCACTTTTTGCCTTCAAAGAGAACATATAAGTACCTAATTATTATACCAAAGGGTCAAAATTACTATGTACACTACACACAAATGCATTTTCTGGAATTTCTAAAAGTAGCTCCTATAAAAATAATATAAAACCACAAAAATCGCTCTGCCCACCATGTATATTGATTCATATATCTGTTTCAAGAAGATATGCATTCTACACAGTATATAACTATATTTAAATGAATTATGAATATCGTATAAATACCATGATCACTATAATGAAATATATATTTATAAATATATACGTATATATATTTATATCATATTCATACAAGGAGATAGGGATAATAGTCCTAATTTCAGCTGTTGATGATATGAGGAATAAATGTTAACTCGGTCCTCTTCAACATTCTTTCAAATATAGCTAAACCAGATTAATTTACTGTAAAAAAAATTAAGAACTGATTCCTAAACAAACCTTATGAAGGCTTTACTAAATCCTATTATGACTTTACATAATTTGATACGGGATATCAACTGGGTATTAGGAGGAGTATATCCCTCACCCCTTGTATATTTTACTCTAGAAAATCGTGAATGCTAACATTAAATAACATCATTAAAACATGACATAACATTCTAATAAAACAATATAATAAATAACCTAGGAAATTTTTATAAAAAACAAATTCTGATTTCCTAACGCTACATTTTCTGCATACTTGTTCACGGGTCAAATAGATTTTAACAATCAGTCAGACACTGACAAATGGTTCGAGAACTGAGAATTTCACAGACAAATCAAATAATCATAACATTGCTCCAGCATTATTTTCAAAACCATCCGAGGCGAAGGCTGCAAAAATATCTATCTTCAAAAAAACCTTCACACTCGAACTTAATGTTATAGGGAAAAATAAACAGTGTTATTTGCCCCGTGAACAATTTGTCAGTCACTTATTATCCTCCGAAATTTCTTGGTAGGGGGTTGTTGGACGTCGTCTTCATCGAACATATAAGCATATTCTGGTAGAAATTTCTCAAGTTGTTCATCAAAGAATTTTTCCAATGTTTTTGCATCTAAGTAGACCTGGCTGTCCACCTGAAGAATTTCAAAATTATATACCAACTGAAGAAGATTCCATTAGTAAATGACGTACAATAGTTTCAGGAAAAAATAATCAAGGAGCTAAGAACATGCGATTTTTTCTCAATTGTAAATTTGGTAGAATCTGTTGGTCAACGTATGAAGTTGAGAAGTGCAACTACGAATCTTAAACATTATTACTGTGTATACTTCATATATAAAGAGTCACAGAAAAGCTCCATTTACACTGTCCCACTTTCTTCCTTTGAGAGTTAGACAGAATTCATGTGAAATGAATTTAACTCATTTTTCTTATATTGAACATGTTTTTTATTAAACTACTGAAAATTAAAAAAAATAACGAAGGTGAACAGCACAGTTGAGTATTAAACATAAATATATTTGGGTTTATTCTTTTGCTTTGTTAAAAATAACGAATAATACAAACTGAGTTGTTGGGCTGAAGTCAGGAGTTATTTATTAGGATTTTTCAAAGGTTTTGTCCGTTTTAGTGTAATGTATTGTGTTGTGGTATAAACTGGTCAGCAACTGGTGTGCGATATTTCAAGGGCGTTTGATTGTGAACACTTGGTTCGAATCGTACCTTTCAGGTCGGAGTCAAATGGTGAGGACAACGGAACTCTCGGAGAACAGGGCCATTGAATCTGGTGTATCACAGGGTTCTGTGTTAGGCCCTATTCTGTTTCTGTTATATATGAATGACATGTCTATGATTAATATATCTGATAGTTTCACTCTATTTGCGGATGATACCACAATATTGTGGAAAGAAAAAAACTCAATGGAGCTAAATAAAATAATATCATCCGACTTGAAGAAGGTGAAGAGCTGGTGTGATGCAAATTTACTCTCTCTCAATGCGTCTAAAACGAATATAATATCATTCAAATGTTCGCTTGATGAAATTTCAATAGACGCTGCCATATTAAAAAATAAATTAAACACAAAGTTTCTCAGTGTATTCATTGATAATAGGCTGAAATTTTATGAACATCTTAAACAACTGAAGAGTAAGATCTCCTCAGGATGTTATGCACTTAGAGTGGTTTCAAATGAGTTGGGTTTCCATGTCGCAAAGACCGTTTACGATGCACTTATTGAATCTGTATTGATATTACAGAAGAGGGCACTAAGATGTCTCTGTAAATTCAAACCCAGTTTGCCTTCTTTACAAACATAAATCGAAGTTCAACTTTGCTTCTACTCCTTATGCTACTCTCAATAGCAATTATACCTTTAGACTTTCCATCCCAACTTCGAATTTAATCAAGGATTCCATATACTATAATGGTGGTAAATTGTTCAATCATTTACTAACAGAAATAAGATCTGCAAATTTAAGAAACATTCATTTTGAAAAAGGCGGTGAGAATCCTACTTGTTGATAGACCCTATTATAGTTGGAAGAGTATTTTAGCGAATCCTTTAAACAATATATTAGCAATTTATTCTTTGTACCATCACTTTATACATGGTGGTATTTTATCTATATATTTTTAGAACTTTTATATATTTATATATCTGTAGCAGAGAGGTAAAACATTGTATGTCCATTAATGAAAATGTTGAATAATGGAGAAAACAATTGCAAATGACAATTCACTTTAACTTTTGAATACTTTTTTCACAATATGTGACGATGTTCTTATGGTATATCAATTGAATTGAAGGGGCCTTTTTAAACACTTTTATTATTAGTTCAATAATATTAACCTGTAATCTACTTTTGGATTTTTTACCTCTGTTTGAAAACACAGGTAAATATAAAAACTGACCTCTTATAATGCAAAACTAGTTTTATTTTATATCAGTAACATTATTAATACGTGAAACATTTAAAAAAATATGTTATTTTTAAAAAATTAAAAAATTAGGAATTGAATTTAAAAAAAATTAAAGAGAATCCTCCTCATCAGAACTAACTTCATCTGATTTATCATGTATACAATAAAGCATATTCTCTCTCTCTCTTTCTTTTTGCAAATCGGAAGGTTATTATAAAACAAATGAAATTGTTTAGGGATCCATTCCAAACTTATTATTAAATAATCATGCTTTTTCTTTCTTATTCCTTTTCAATCACTGCGAAGACAAGGTAATTCATCCGGCAATTGTATTGGATTTCGAATAGATCTCATGACGTTTAGTGTTTTAAATTCTTCATCCTCGTAATTTACTTTGTAAAATATAGTGCTAGGATGATCAGCTTCAACTTGAAAATTAACAACATGTGATATCAGAATTTTTTTTTCAGTATTTCTCTTCTTATTAATAAAAGGGGATTTTGCTTGATTGTACAAGTAGTCAACATGTTTAAAATCAGAAAGCTCTAGTTTTATGACAGTTGCACCCGTTGACCTTAATAATTGTTACCAGTCCCAAGGAGTACATATTTCCATAGTTGGTTGCTCCCGTAAAGATCTTTCAATTAGCGGGTGAACATGATCAGCTTCCATGTGTGTGTGACTCCTCAGTAAAAACTTATGTTCAACAGATTTTAAATTTGGACAAACTTTTAATAACTATAGATACGTGAGCAGCATAATAACGTTACAGTTCTGACTGGGGCAATTATCTGACCATATAATTAAGTGTTCTATGGTAGAATCAGCAATAACACTTTCAGCCCATTTAATTAATGCTGATGCGATTTCATTGCCCCCTCTCCCAGCTTCTGATTCATCCCATACCATGCAATAAAACAAATTATTTGTTGAATCAAAAATAGTCAAGTTAAGGGTCCACACAGTTAAAATTAACAAATAATAGAAAAACATAAGTCGATACATGAAGATTCGTGAAAAAAAGAGCCGCCTCATAGGTTAAGCACACAGGCGCTGTGGGGGGTCGGCGCGGCCCTGATTGTCGAAGGAGATAAGTTTGTTCACCCTATTCAATTATGGAGATACTACAATTTCAAAACTTAAAAATGTATGCAACCAACATAACGTGACTTACGATATTTTACCACAATAACAAGTTAAAAGGGTGAAGTCTGGAACAGGTATTAACTCAGTTCTGTTTAAAAGTGGAGTTACCACTGTTTACCTCTCTGCTACAGATATACTAGATTTATTCTTTTTTTAGTACTTTTTCTATACCTATTAACATTGTATTTCTTGGACTATGTCAATAAGATGCAAATCTTCGGACAATAAAGTATATTTTGATTTGATTATAACTTTCTGCAACCAGGCCAAACCATCACAGCAGAGTCCTATTGTGAGGACAAGAGGTCCGATCTTGCTCCATAACAACGCCCGTCCGCACGTTTCATGTATCAAAGTCTGAAACTCCTCAGACCTCTCGTCAACTGACTAGTTTTTTCAAGCACTTCGATAACTTTCTTATCGGTAGAACCAAACAAAAACAGCCTTCGTCGATTTCATCGAATCCCGAGCAAACAATAACTATTCACCGAGATATTACAGTTTGGAGTGGACTCATAAAAACGGACAAAACTTTTGGAACAACCTTATATATAAATTCTTTGATAAACTATAACAGATAAAATATTGAAATTATGAATATAAATGCTTGCTTAGCAAGACATCACATGGCATTAATTACTCATTCATGTAAGCTCAACAGTTATCAATTTTTAAATAGAGAACAAAGATCATACCAAAGTTATCAATCAACATTCACACATACACACAGATATTATCGAGTTCTATTCTAGAGATAATTTTTAATGATGATTTTTTCAATATTTAGTATTTCTTCATATACATCCTATATCGAGTAGCACTTGAAAAAAGAAAATACCTACTTGTTTCTTTTGAGAATTCAAATTTCCTTGCTGCATAAAATGATATAAATTGATTCTGTACACAATAACAATTTTTTAGACATTCTAGGTGTATTTTAAAAGGACCAAAAATAATTAAAAGTATGTAGTTACTTTTATTGAACATTCTGAATAGACTTTAACATTTGGGTTCTTAAATAAAGACAAAACCCGGAAAATAGCTTTCACAAAGACGTTTAATTTCATGATTGACTTTCAAGAGTCAGATTGTGGATCTTGGGGAAGATTTATAACCTATATAAACGACATATTTGAATTATTACAAACTACTGAATGTTGGTATCATTTGCTGTTGACATTACCCTTATATGCTCTGAAAGCCGAAACAACAGAAAAGCTAAAATATGAAACAGAAATGTAGTTTTATAATAATTTAAAATTGAACGCAAACAAAACTGAAACGATGTTATTGTCACATTCGTCATACCATAGTGCCTGACCTGCCGGAGATCAAAACTGTCGAAAAAATAAATCGGCACGCGCACATTAAAATTTCATGCAATAGATTGGTTAGTGTTAAAAATCCTTTCAAGACGAACTCTAAAAAAAAAAAATTTTTTCATTGTTCCTTTGTCAATAAAACTATGGAATCATTTCATGTGGAAACTCATCTTAATGCAATACTGTTTTTATTCGATAGAAGAAAACCCTTACTCCAATGGCTAATGAACCCTACAATGAACAATGTTAACTCATTTTTTTGGTTTTGATATAATGTCTTTGCCTGTTTATTCAATATTCTAGTAGAGATACATAAACAATTAATTACCATCAAGACACATGAACACAACAATAAATGACCAAATAAGAAATCCCCAATTTAAGACTCCACCAGAAAAAAAATTATCCAACATTCTTTCAGAAAGACTAAAAAAACCTGTTTTAAGAAGTTTGAAGGTGCTATAAAGGATTATCTTATCAAACAATGCTTATATACTCTAGAAGAATAATTACAATCTTAATGGAATCATTGACGTTTGAATTGAATAATTTTATGCCTTCTAAGTATTTCACTCATTTGAATATACATATAGATCAATATTCAATTTCATAAAATGTATACATTAATTGTTTTTAAAAAATTTGTATTGTGAATTTTACTAGTTCAGATTTCCATTGTCTAATATGACTGAAAAAGTAAGTAAAAAATTAGACAATTAAGAAAGAAATTAAACAAATTAAAAAAGATTTCAAATCAAGTTACTACACGACATTTCAATTATTAGTATCCACAATCGCCTTCGGGTGATGACTGTCATAGCCCAAAGAAGAGTATTGATACAGAATTACTAAAACAGGTTCCAATTTTGCAATTTATTTTAACAAGTATTACATGTAGGTATTATTAGGTTGGCTGAAAAATTGGTAGGCTAAAACACAGATGGCACTACTGGTGTCAAATCCATATTTTTAGTTAACCATAACCCTCAAAAGAATCGTGTACAAATTTCACAGCTGTCGGACTATTAGTTTGTGGGATAGAACATTTTGAGTGAAGCAACTTCTGTTAGTTTGAAGAAAATGATCAAAAAAGGAATTTTGTGTGTTGATAATAACTTTGGATAACCACAGAGTGAAGTTGATCGAGATAGCTGAGGCTCCAAAGATATCAAAACAACGTGTTGGATATATCGTGCATGAATATTTGGGTGTGTGAAAGCTCTGTTCAAAGAGGGTGCCGCACGAGCTCACAATTGACCAAAAACAACAATGAATTGATTATTTGGGGCAGTGTTTGAAGCTGTCCCACAATAAAAAAACAAATTTTGTGTGTAATATGTGACAATGGATGAAACATGGCTACATCATTCCACACCAGAATTAAAGCGATTGTCATCTGAGTTGACTTCAAGTGGTGAGCCAACCTCAAAGCGTGCAAAGGCGCAACGGTCGGATGGCAAGGTTATGGTATCAGTATTTTGGAATGCACACGGTATAATATTCATCGACTGAAAAATAATAAAACCATCAACAGCGACCATTACATAGTGTAATTGAAGTTTTTGAAAGACCAAACGGCGAAAAAACAGCCCCATCTGAAGAAAAAGAAGGTGCTGTCTTTTCAAGACAATGCACTGTGTCAAAAATCCATAAAAACCATGACAAAATTGCATGAATTGGGCTTCGAATTGGTTACGCATTCACCGTATTCTCCCGATCTGGCCCCCAGTGACTTTTTCCTGTTCTCAGACCGCAAGACGATGTCCGCTGGTAAGAAATTTAGGGCTGACAAAGAGGTAATCTTCGAAACTAAGGCCTATTTCAATGGTAAAGACAAATCGTTCTATGAAAATGGTATCAAAAAATTGTATGACCGCTATAATCATTTTATCACCCTTGAAGGCCACTATATTGAATAATAAGATCAAATTTTGTGATTTTTTTTTTCAATGTTGGCCTCCAAACTTTCCATCCCAACTGTTACATGTAAGAATGTATTTTATACAGTCAATACAACCTAAGAGTGAAATTAATTTTTCTATAAACCTCCTGCAGCTGTAAAACAACTCACCGTATTGTAGGTATATGCATTTTTGAACATCAATCGTACATCTCTCACTAACTCTTCCATTTGCCTGTAGTGGTTGTCTGCGCTCCAATTCAATTTCTGCCTGATCGTATCTAAAGCAATAGGCTGCTTTATGATGGAATGGTATTCTTCGTTCTGAAAAGTATAAGAATACTATAAATGTATTGGATAATTATAACAGAAAACGTTACCTCAGGCCCGATGATTTCTCTGAAAGGAAGGCTAGGATCATACTGGCAGTACAATTCAAGCACGAGTCTCTCTGCTATCTTTCTCTCTCTGACACTGAGTTCACCATCTTTTTTCTCAGACAAGATACTTTCTGGGATGTCGGCGAAATTCATGCAAAGTAAACACTGCCATGTATCGTTTTCCCTGAAAATTTACGAGAAATAAGGTCAACATCTATCACTATTTTGAGAAACATCATTATATTTGTGGCAGATCAATGAAATGAAAGGATGAAAGCATCTTATAAAAACTAATAAATAATGACAGCAGAGAATATTTAAAAAACAAAATACATAATACAATTAATAATAAGTGAAGTGACTTCTGGCAGACATTTAATAAAGGCGTTCCTCAAGGCTCAGTTTTGGGTCCAATTCTGTACCTATTATACATACAAATTATTTGCCAAATCAAATTAACATGTAAGTATACTATATATGCAGACAATACAGACTTTTATTTGCAAATAAAAACCCAACTATTATAGAAAATACAATTAATGTTGATTTGAAACTTTTTGAAAAATGGCTTTACTCAAATTTTCTTTCAGTTAACCCAAATAAAACTGAATTTATTACGTTTCATCAAAAAAATAAGCAAGATATTACATTAAATATTTCTATAAAGAATACACAAATAAAACAAACTATGCAAATGAAGTACCTTGGTGTTCATTTTGACATTCATATAAAATGGGATATACATATTGATAAACTTATTGAAATAATAATAAGCCCTTGCGGGTTGCGTTTTTTTTTCAATTCAATTCTTTATTTATCCATTCGAGCAAATACAGTTACAGGACAAGTCAAAAAACATATAGTCATACAACAATACAGTGAGTGAAATGATAAAATAAAATAAATTATGTACATGCATAACAAGGATTGCAGACAAAATACAATTAACATAGGATAGTGAAATAATACATGTTTACAGGTTGTTCTTTAAAAAACTAATTCATAATAATCTTCTAAGGAGTAGGGACACAGGTCAATTAGTATCTTTTTCACTTCACTCCAAGAAATTTAACACTTTCAGTACTATAAATGCATGTGTTATTAACGTTGATATTTAATGGCGGTACGTTTTTGTTTTGATGAGTATGAAAAGTTATACAATTTGTTTTGTTTGTATTAAAAAGAAGAGACATATCAGAAGACCAGACTGAAAAGTTGTGCATTGTGGTGTAAATTTTTGTTTTCAGAATTTCAGAGTTTTCTCCTGCAAAAAGTAGCGTTGAGTCATCTGCATACAATGTAGTGAATGCATCAGTTAAGATCAGAGGCAGCTCATTAATATATAAGACGAATAGTATTGGTCCCAGAATGGAGCCTTGAGGTACCCCAATGTCATTCCTTTGAGGAGATGACCGAGATGTTTTACCACAATGAGAGATTTCAACAATTTGTTTCCGTCCTCTCAGATACGAGCTAAACCAGTCATGAATTTTACCTCTTATACCAAATTTATATAACTTATCAAGCAGAGTTTCGTGTTGAACACAATCAAAAGCTCGACTTAAATCACAAAATATTCCTGTTAGATTTTCACCCTTCTCAGTAGCTATTAATACTTTCTCATAGAAGGAGATAATTGCTGTTGTGGTAGAGTATTGGCTACGAAAACCATGATGATTATCCATAATAACTTTGTTCCTCTCTAAAAACGATACCAGTTGATTTAGAACCACATATTCAATTACTTTTGATATTACTGATGGAATAGTGATTGATCTATAATTAGCTATGTCAGATGGATTACCTTTCTTTAAAATAGGAGACACTAATGAAGTTTTCAATTTTGTTGGGAATATCCCGCCCTCAAGAGACTTATTAATCACGTGAGTGAGAGGTTTAACTATATATTCTGCATTTTTTTTAATATTACAGCTGAAATTCCATCATAACCACAGGAGGGCTTATTTTTAATTTTATATGTTATAACATTGAGAACATCTATCTCAGAAACATATTGAACAAACATACTCTCTGTTTGAAAATTATTTTGTGGATATTCAATTCGATGATTTAGGTGTTGTATATTTCCTATTGTTTCCTTTGGCATGTTTTTCAATAATTTCATTATGTAATTTTATTGCGACGTGTTTTTTTTTCTTCTTTTTCAATTATATGTATATTAGGATCAATTTTCTATTCAACAAAGATTCATTCATCCATTTACTATTATTATACAGTTCTACTTACTCCACGCTCAAATTGGGAATGTGGCAGTACTGGTGGAACACCTTGGGACACTTATCGCAACACACCAATTCCCCCCCGTCCATGCAAACAGCACACCAATCTTCATTAGGATCGTCTTTGCTGGTCTCAGACAGTTCGGATTTGATCTTCGGTCCTGGACCAGAGTCGCCAGTGGAGCTGTCCACGTGGGGCGAACCCCCTTTCTGTCTACCTTCGGCCAAAACTTGCACTCCATTCGAGTCCAGTTTAGCGATGGTGGCCATGAGATCTTTGACAGAGTCTTCACAGAATTTATCGAGGTTGCGTTCCGTGTCAGACTTGCCTTGGATGTGATTGGGACTTGGCGTTTTGGGAATAGTCGAAGTAACTGTGGCCGGAGTGTTTTTGTTTGGATCGTTTGGTGTTTGCTGGCGCAGAGTGATTTTGAAGTTATCGTTAATTGTAGGAAGGGTCATGTTACGATTGTTGCCATTGTTAGCTGCTGCTGAAAATGAGCGAATATAAATTTGTGCATTTTTTTTTTATATATTTTGCCAGAGCCTATCATCCAGAATACAATGGTGAAAATTTTGAATCGATAGCAATAACTATTATCAAGATACATAACTTCAAAACTGTATGTTCGTCAAAAGCTAGGGTGAAGTCACGAGATATGTGAGATTGTCCATACACAACCTGAAATGTAATAAAGTAGGTTTGAATGCAGATTGTTCAGTCCTAGATTTTTTTGGAGGTAGACATGAGTTATTCACCGAAGATAGACTTATTGGTGGTAATGAAATATATCAATAATGATAAGGACTGATTTTTTATCAATGATTGAAAGTGTTTCTGAAGTAATTATCTCTTTACTTCATTACCCTTGAGATGTATCTACATAACTAATAGGAGGGTTGTTCTCATCCAATTTAATTTCAAATTGTTCTTTTCCTCTTGATTTTTTGTTAGTATAGGACTAAACACAGTTTTTTAATAGTTAAGTGGAAGAACAATCTACATATGCCTGCACTTCAGCTTTTGATCTTTGCAGTAAATTATTGTTTACTCTGTTTTGGATTGTCATGTATTGTTAATGAAATGAAAAAACAATACCTTTATTATTAAATATTATATTCTCACCTGAGCTACTTTGTTGAGGAATATGCCACTTAACACCCCCTCCAGAAACGCTAACGTTTCCTCCCGAAAACGGTTGAGGTCGTTGCTGTTGTTGATTATGTTGTTGTTGCTGCTGCTGCAGCTGTTGTTGTTGTTGAACCGGCATTCGGTTCTGCTGGGTTGGCACCAACATTCTGAGTTGGTTATTCTGCTGGGTGAACCTTATCTGCTGCTGACCGGGAAACCTACCTTGAAATTGCTGAGCCAAATGTGGTTGCACAGCTTGATATTGACCGGGACCCGTCTGAATGTAAATGGGACTGTTGGACCCTGCACCGCTGTTCGTGTTGTTGGGTTGGAGGAGGTGACGTAAGTTGCTTCGGTCATGTAACATTCCTTGAGGATGAGTGGAAGACGATACCTGTATAAAATATAAACGTGACATATGTCAGAGGTAATCTTCTTCGAAGTATCAGGTATTGAACCACCTGTTCAATGTGATGTTCCACAAGGCTCTGTTCCTGGCCAGTCCCTTGTATAAACATGTAAATGCTATTTTTAGTTTACATTTGGAAGGAGAAATGGGCATGAAAGCAAATTACACATTTCTAATATATCAGAGCAATAATATATAAAAAATTAAATATTGAGGAATTTTTGAAAAATATTTACTTTTCAGAATCAACTTTTGAGAAAACTTTGTACTTGTTCATTTCCAAAAATTGAATATGATACACTCAGAAGATCCTATTAAATTCAAAAGTGAAAACATTAAGTATTCTTCATTTAAAAATGTTGTAGGTATGTACGCTGTCTGTTAAAAACATAAGGTAAATTTTCATTTTCCTCAAAAAATATTCATTTATTCGTCAATTTATTTTTTTATCCTCTCCAAAGTAGTTACCCTCAGATATAATACACTCGTGTCAGCGTTTCTTCCAATTATACCTGGATACAGATCTATTTGTTAAATTTTTTATTTACAGTATAAAAATGTATGTTCCCGGGAATATTGAATTGATTGTTAGGTAATTTAATTTCTATTATTGTTCATTATCAATTCTCCTCGATAAAAAAAAACAAAAGCAAATGTTGATTTTTGTTTGAACATAAAATTTAAAAACGAGTTACTCGATATCGAATGAACCAATAAAAAATTCAAAGGTAATAAAGAAACGATGGATCTCTCAATTGATATCCTATGCCAATAAAAGAAAAATATAGGGTGGATGCTGCTTCAATGGTGTGAAGTTTCATACTAAAACAAAAATTGACACATTCTTTGAAATTTTCAATGACACGTCCTTTTTTGAGTTACGGAGGGGAGGAGGCAAGTTTCTGCTGAAACTCCACGTTGAAGCATAATCAGTAACATTATTACTACTCACCTGCTGTTGCTGTTGGTTCATACCCATTGTCATTCTGGGCATGAGAGCTCTCTGTAGCACTGGTCTTTGCATTCTGTTGCTCATAGTCAGCTGTTGTGCCAAAGACATTGGCAGAGCTTGAGGAAGACTGCTAATACTAGGGGGACCCATGGATGGTATTCGTGCACCTGTAAGAAGGAAACGAACAAACTGCTTAGCAATTAAGAAACTAGTTATAATTTAAAAAACTCACCTCCAATTGCTTGTCCCATGTTTTGCCCCAAGTTGTGAGTCATGCCTTGACTCATATTTTGTCCCATTCCTTGATGGTTCGTATTCATATTCTGTGCCATGTTATGGTTCATACCCTGCCCCATGTTCTGTTGATTCTGGACAGTGTTTATTGATTGCTGGTACTGGTTGTTGCTCTGATACTGAGAATATGGGGGAGGGCCTGGCATTCTGGTTTGCTGGAATCCTGAAGGGGAGGCCAACTGCCGATGGGGGCTCATGGGTGACGGCTGTTGGGGAGGTCGACATTGCCCAGGGCTGGAGGAACTTGGAGGAGGAAGGGAAGCGGCTGGAGAAGATGACTGGGATGGGTAAATTCTTCCGTCAACAACAATTTGCCCAATAGTAGACATCACTGATGAAAAAAAATAGAGAAGAAATCAGTAATAGGTTGAAAACACAGATTTTGTGAACAATTTTTTTCAAAATTTATTAGAAGTCAGTCTAAATTCATCTCCCCCTATGGGGGTACCAGGATGGTTGTGAAAAGTTCACTTTTAGCAGAATATATATTTGTTTACAAAGAAAATTTTAATGATCTCATTGTTGCAAAAGAATTTGAAATCTGTTATTGTAGCCATGAAACACGAAATTAACTTATACAGAAACATATGTATTTACACACATCACAAGGTTTCCATAATACCAGCTGAATTTAATATAAATTATATAAATAAGAAACCATCCCTTCAACAAGCAATACAAGTCCTTTTGCCACAATATATTCATAGAATATCAAACGACTTTGTAGCGATTATTGAATATATTTGTAGTGGCTATGAAGAAAAAAGAAATAACAGTTACAGTTTCCCCTTCTAAGTTATCAAATCATTAGGCATGTATAAGTAGGAAACTTAAAAGAATTGCGGCCGTAGGTATAGGCGAATCTATAGTGTTGATAATCCTGCAAAATTCCACTTTTTTGGAAGTCCACCTTAAGCTGCAACCATTCGTCTTCCCTTTCCTACAATAAACTAGAAAATTTTAGTTACACATTTTCTGTGCACTGCATATCCTAACATCAGTAAGTACTAAAAAAACTATCAAAGTATTTGAACGAACAAGAACATTATCTAAATAGGAAGAGACTTGATGTCAAAGAATAGAACAAAGAAAAACTGGTCAATCATAAACGATATCAGAGAAAAATCTATAAGAAAAATATGGATATTTCACAGAGTCCAGATGATATAACCAACTATTTGTGTAAAATTGTTTCTGTTAAACAAAACCATAGGTGCCACATATAATCCAATGAGCTATCTAAATGTCCCCAAAAATATTAAAAACTTATAGGGTGTGGTTATTGAAGTACTAGTCAAATTTTTGAATTGATCTTTTATAGCCGTCGATTTTCCTGGATTCCTTAAAACATCAATGACCCCTCAAAACTCAGAACTATCTCTTTGATATCGATCCTAGCCTAGAAAAATTTATTTTGGAACTCTTCAAATACTCACAGAATATCAACCAAAAATTACAGAATATTGCTCAGAAATCTAGAGCATTATGGTTTCAGATGTACCAGTTAGATATAAATATACATGTGGCATATCCCAAAGCTCGATTCTTGGACCAATTTATAAAAATGACATTGATAATAAAATCAATAAAAAAAAAAACTTTTCAGGACGACACAATTTCATGGCATAAAAAAAACAACAGCACTTCATGGAACAATCACTGAAATGAACGACTGGTGTGATTCAAACTTGAGCTTTATTAACATCATGACGACGAACATCATGACCTCTTGATACACATTATAAGATATACAACAAAGAAACTTTTTTTTTTTGGAAAACTCAACTTCACACCAAGTTTTTGGACCTACAAATAAACAGAAAAACTGGCCAAATGCCAGTTTCCAAGACAGCCAAGCAGTCTTGGAAAAATTTTGACTCACACAGAGTAACGTCTAAGTTGATAGTGAAGTGCCAAAAAAGAATCTTCTCAATAGGGAGACTCAACAAATTGTCTCTGGTATGGATACCTCGCCACACTTGTTCAGAAGTTAAGAAGCTGGTAAATCCTTGCAAGGGAATCACGTTTTCAGAATTCATCGACAGCTGAGTCAAGAAGCTGTACTTATTTATCTTAGTGTGAATATGTATGACCCACAATTAACCCTTACGACTTGCAGTAGAGAGTAAAGTAGACCTACTTAACTTAGATGTAACCTAACCCTATATAATTGCTTTCTCGTCAAATATTTACTATACAGGGTGTCCCATTCCTCTTCTCTTCTTGGGAATGTATAGATGGGGTCAAAATATCAACAGTACTTCATATAACTTTTGTTATATGAATATGAAATAGTTCATAATAATGGTTTTCCTGCTTATCTAATTAATAGAATCTATAACAAACAGAACTAACTTTCATAATCGTAGTTTAATCCCTACCAAGTTTCACAAGATATTTGCAATATTCTCATACGGTACTGTAATGATAATAATTTTTTTATATACTATGGATCCTATTTCCAAATTGTTAGTCCATACTAAAGATCAATATTCCATTGGATATTTTGAAGTTTGTTGATATGACCGAACAGTTTACATTTAATAAATATGTAAATATGCATGCATTTTATGGACGAGCGTTTTTTAATGCTGCAGAAGCTGGTCGCCTGTATCCCGAGAATTTTCCCAATCGAACGGTACCAGCAAGAGAAATGTTCGAGCATGTCGATCGCACCTTAAGGGTGACCAGTATTGGAGGAAAATATTTTTGAAGCTGTTGCTGATGATCCTTCAAGGAGCATCAGAAATCTATCAGAACAGTTCCATACATCTGAGTCCACTATTCATAAAATAATTAGGGAACAACTGCTTCATATATATCATATCCAGAAGGTACATGCCATGACACCTGAAGATTTTCCTGCACGACTTCCAATTGGTTCATGGACAAGCAAAGAGAGGATATGACTATTTTTAATTGAGTTTTATTCACTGATGAAGCAAGTTTCAGTAGAGATGGAGTTATCAAGTCTCATAATGTCCACATATGGGCTGAAGAAAATCCCATGGGATTATTATTATTATTATTATGTCACTGTATTCAAGTTGAAGTAGTTAAAAAATTACTAAGAAAAACATTCTATTTACCTGAAGATAGACCTTGAATGAATGAAAATAGAATAATACATCATTATTTTAAAATTATAATTTCAATTTTCAACACATACCTTTGATCAGATCGGGAACTTTGTCCAATGCCAGATGTATCCTGACGGGTATCTCCGGGTTCGGAATGTCAGCTCTCTTGCACTTGATCCGCTTCAAATGCTCCGTAACTTGCTTCTTGCTATATAGCAAAGCCATATCGCTTCCATTCGACAGAGCATGTTGAGTGAATTGAATGCAATGGTCAGTCATTTTTGAAAGCTGTTCCAAAGCAAGTTTCTTCTCCTGCAGCGTCTTTTGTTTAGAATCACAAACTTCTGTGAGTTTCGCTACCAGCTGCTTGCCTCGAACGTTGATTGTATTTGTTAATCTGAAATGATATATCCATGACCAAAGTTCATACGAATAACTGCTTTTTTGAGAAAGATCTATATACTCACTTGACAACTAACTGTGTTATTTCTTTCACGAGAGCCTGCTTTTTATCTGTGATTAGATTTTGACGATCATCAATAACTTTCATTGCGCTTGTAAGTAAAGCCCTTTTATACCTGAAAATAATGAGAGAATTGATGCTGTAATTTTAATATTTTGTGTATATCCACACCAAATGTTCAACTTAAGTATGTCTCTATTCAACAGGTAACCTTTATACTTTCATTGATGAATGCATATATGAGGTACCAAATAGCATTCTGAGGCAATTTTTAAAATGCAAGAGTGGTCAGGTACTTGTAAAAAGTCCTCAAGCATGACTACTTGAGGAAATTATTGTATACGTGTCTCACCAAATACATGTCAGTTTTGTAAAACCACAAACTTGATGAGCTGTAAGTGAGTAAATATTCATATGCTTGGTTTCGTGGAGAAGGCTAATTGAAAAATAAAAAGAAAGTGTGAATATCTTCCGGATAGTTCTGTTTCTGAGGACCTTTAGGAACTTCAATTTATGATAGGAAGTTTTACTCCATAGAAGAGTCAAGAAAGAGTAGAATGCACTGTGTTAGAGAGCTTTCGTATGTGTAACTGGTGGGTATTTTGCTACTTTACCCAGTATTGCAATGGCGGGAAAAACTGTCTTATACAGATGATCAATGTAGGATTCCCAGTTAACTTTTGAGTCTATATGCAGACCTAGATAGTTGATATAGTTAAACCTGTTGAGTGGTTCGTCTCCTATTTTGATGAGTAGTTGATTATATCCTGTTTATTAAAATAACCCAGTAATTTAACTTATGGCTATAAACTATAGATCCCCTACTGTTTTGAGAAAAATATTTATTGTAATGGTCAAATGAATAATGAAAGCATTCAATATCATGATGGAAAACACCAATGTTGAAAAAATCTGAAGATGATAAGTAAGAAATATTCTTACTTAAATTGAAAGGGGTATATTTTTAGGAGATATTAATATTATTAAATTAATGGATGTAGCCGTTACTATGTGGTAGAAGATCTGTTTTTTACCACTTGTATTTGTAACTAACGTTACTGCAGTTTCGTCCTATGAGGGCACTTTCATTTAAATGTATTTGTTTGAAAAGGTCCTTATAGAACGAAACTGTAGTAACATTAGTTACAAATACAAGTGGTAAATAAATGATAGTTTAAAAAACTGAAAAAAAAATTAATAGCAACACAAACTAAAAAATAATTCAAAACTAATTTAAGATTGTGTTCAACATCGATAATAAGTCTTATGGCTTGATGTAATTATTGACTTTCAGTAAGTCCGAAATTAGAATGAATATTTTAACAAAAAAATTAATATTGTTGTAAAAAAGCATGGGATGCTTTAAATTGTATTTTTATTATGGCTCCAATCTGGCAAACAGCTCCTAACAAGTATTTATAACAATGGATATTTAGCACCACATACTTTTTTACAAGAAAATCAATTTTTTTTGTGAATAGATTTATTCTGATTTCAGACTTTTTAAAAATCATTAGTTACATATAGCCATCGTACTTACTACCGATGTTGAACACAATCTAAAAGTAGTTTCAAATTATTTTTTAGTTTGCTATTAATGCATGATTTTTTATTCATCTATTGAAAACACTTTCCCAACGCCAGAACAAAAATCACAGTCTCTCGACGCGCGTTTCGCTAATCAAGTGAGGACGCTAACTTGGTTAGCAAAACGCGCTTTGAGACACCGTAATTTTTGTTCTGGTGTTGGGAAAGTGTTTTCAATAGATTCAATTTATGCAAGAGTATCCAGTACGAACTATCACGTTTTTTTAGTTTCTTAAACTATTTTTCACTTTACATTTTTTAGTGTGGCTTGCTATTTCAAGCCCATTTGTTTTAATATAAAATATATACGCATGAGCAGACAGTGTGATTGTCTCACCTGCTTCCACACAGACTGTGTAATCAAATTATTTAATCCTGGCGATCCTGATCAGGATAATTAAATAAACTTATGAAATTATTGTATTTTCACCGATTCTTGATAAGTGTACAAAGTTTAAAATAAATCTGTCCGTTTAAAGTTAGTCAAAATCAAGTGCAAAGACGTTGGTTTCAAACAAACATACAAGTGAAAATAAAAGCATGTCAAAAAACATAGAAAGTTTTATTTATCATCTTTCATTAATTTTATCATTTATTCATTGATAACACAACACAACAAAAAAATATTTTTTGAATGTTTCCTACACTAAATTAGTTCATTTCTACTAATTTTGGGGTGATAAAAACGAAAATAATAATGAAAAATTTTTATTAGCTCTGGTTTTTGAGATACACAGTACTTAATCTTGAAGAGTAGTTATACTATACGTGAAAAGTGAAAGTACATAAAACAATATTGTTATGTTTCTTTTAGAACATTTTAAGTACAAAATTAATAAAAAAAACATTATTCTTAGTGTTTTGACAAATAAAAGAAGTTTGTACCACCAAATTTCAATTGAGTCCATCCGATTCATTGTAAGATCGCTGTCGTTTAGCTTGTTTTTTATAAAACACTTCTGGAGCATCCCTACACACAGACCAGCAGTAGTCTGCAAGCATTGCTTCATTCCAACGGCCCTGATATCTCTGTTCCATTAAGGCAATGTCTTGATGGAATCTTTCTCCATGTTCGTCACTCACAGCTCCACAGTTTTGTGGGAAGAAATTAAGATGAGAGTGAAGAAAATTAATTTTTAAGGACATGTTGCATCCAAGTTGGTGGTAAGCTTGAAGAAGCTCTTTAACCAATGCTGTGAAGTTATCATCTCTTTGTTACCTAAAAACCCATGTACAACCCCCTTAAAGGCTTCCCAGGCTCTTTTTTCATTTCCTGTTAAAATCATGTCAAAAGCAGGATCATTTACGATTTCAAGGATTTGAGGCCCAATAAAGATGCCTTCCTTGACTTTAGCATCACTCAACCTGGGAAACTTTGCTCTCAAGTACTTAAAAGCTTGTCCTTCCTGGTCCATGGCCTTCACAAAGTTTTTCATTAGTCCCAACTTAATATGTAATGGGGGAAGGAGAACATCCTTAGGATCTACAAGAGGCTCGTAAACTACATTTTTCTCATTAGGGTTTAGGTCTCGTGTAGGCCAGTTCATTTTTTTATAGTGAGATTTTCTATCCCGACTGTCCCACAGACACAAAAAACACAGTACTTGGTGAACCCTGATTGCATTCCTAGGAGTATAGCAATGACTTTCAGATCACCACAGATGTGCCACTTGTGTTGTTCATATTTGATTGATTGGAGAAGTGTTTTCATATTTATATACGTTTCCTTCATGTGAACTGCATGACCTATAGGAATAGAGGGTAGCTGATTTCCATTATGCAGAAGTACAGCTTTTAAGCTTAGTTTTGAAGAGTCTATAAACAGTCTCCATTCAGATGGAGTGTGATCCAAATTCAAGCAGTCCATCAAACCATTAACATCAGAACAAACTACGAGGTTTTCTTTTTTCTCAAAAAAAGGAAGCAAATCTTTTTGACGCTGTCTGTACTGAGATATTTTCACATCATGTTTTAGAAGATTCCACCTGTTGTAGTCTTGACCCTAACAGCTCAGCCTTTTCCTTAGACAAGCGAAGATCTCTTATAAGGTCACTCAACTCTGCTTGACTAATTCTGTGCGGATCACTAGACCTATCGCTTACCTCAAAATCAGGGTCATAGGATGTAGAAGGATGGGTTGCTCCTTCTAAACAGTTTTCATCACCTTCCTCTAAAATTTCATAGTTTTGGGGTGGAGAAGGGACTGGCAAATTGTCTGAGTGTGGTACAGGCCGAAGAGCAGATGGGAGATTAGGGTATTTAACCGTTCCTCTTTTCTTCATAGATAAACCTTGCTTAATGGGAGGAGTTAAGCAGAAATAACAGTCGTCTGTATGATTGGTAGGCTCACGCCAAACCATAGGTACTGCAAAAGCCATTGCCCGGTTTTTATTTTTCAGCCACTCTCGCAATATGACGGTCCCCAACTTTCACACCAAAATAATGTTCATAGGCTGTCGATAGGTGTCATTTTACGTTTCTGAGCCTTAAATGTTATTTCACCACATATATAGCAAAAGCTATCGACAGAATTCACACACTTTCGAGGCATTTCAGATCAGCACTTAAATTAATTTAAAAATCAACTTCACACGATAATTTCAATAGCAACCACGTGCGTACAATTGACAAACTCACATAGGTTATGTTTACTACTTAAGAACAGCTGATGAGAGGGGTGTTATCTAAACAAACATGTGTACCAACTGTTGGTGATGAAATATTTCATTTGTTGAAAACTCAATATACATATATATAATATAATGATACTATATCTTGAAAACAAGAGCTAATATATAATTTTTATGGTCACTTTCGGTTTTAACACGTGGAAATACATTAAAATCATCTAATTTCAACCCCGAAACAAAAACTTTGTTGTGTTGTGTAATTGTATGAATGAATTGACTGTTTTTTTTAATGTTATCCAGATTTGATGCTGAAGAGCCAATAAAGCAAGTGTCTCATTGCGAAACATTAGATGTCTACCAGTGAGGATGACAGTGTTCCATGTAAGTGAAATTTTACCTCTTTCATTAATTATATTATGTAGGGATCCTGTAAATGATATCTGATTCGATCCCATTACAAATGTTTGGAATACAAACTGAATAGAGAAAAGTGTTTTTTGTATAATTCAGTGTATTTGTTGCGAAAGTATTCTTCTTTCATGTAATTCAATGTTTATATGAAAGTAGCTGTTTACAGAGGGCTTTTCTTCCAGTTTTTGTCTGAAAGTTATTTCTTTACATGATCAACGCATCTTTGTATAGAGTTGACTTTTTTTAATTGATTGCTTCCTTTCTTTCTTTGAAAGATTCCCACATGTTTTGTGAAAACATGGAGAAGTAAAAAGCCAAAATCTTTCTTTACCAAAAATTATTCTTACCTTATTAACACTGTCCGTAATTATTGCATCCTCAAATTTATTCTGTTATTCTGTTTACATGAAGTGGTAAAATGAGCAACCAATATTGTACTTACCCAACATCTTTAAGCATCTCTGCAATGAATTTCTTGGCTTCCGAAGCAATTTCATTAGTGAATTTGTACTTATGTTCCCTATGCTCAATCAGCTGGCAATCCCGACATGTTAACTTATCGCAAGTTTCACAAAATAATGATAGTTTCTCATGCGGATGATTTGAACAGAACAAACTAGTCGATCCTCCATTGGTGACAGAGTGGAGTTCCATCAATCCATCTTCTTTCGGTTTTATCGTGTGATCCTTTGTTATTTTCAACCTGAAAAATGAGAGGTCGATTTCTATTGTTTGTAATTATTTTAAAAAATTTCAAAGCTCACCTTTGATGTGCCTGCACACAATTATCGCAAATGAATTCCGAACAATCTGTGCAATAACTTGTAGCAAAAGCATCGTCTGTGCAGTTACTGCATTTCATATCCGTGTTCTTCGTAGAATCCTCATTGTTGGCAAGTTCAAGTAAGAACTGGTTTTCTATTATACGTTCAGGTTCGCAAACGATTCCGCAAAAAGGACATTCAACTTGTACTGAAAATTAGGTCATCATCTTTTTAAAAAAAATTGAATTTCAAAGAATGCGATAAATATTAATGTTCTAGTCTCATGAAAATTGTAAGTGGGAGGTGTTGTGAATGGTTACTCAGAGTTCTATCTTTAACTTAGTTTCAAATTAGTGCATAATGAACAAAAAGTGATTTTATTTACTAACAAATATATTTTACTAGTTTCTTACTGGTTTCTAATTACTTTTTGGAACATAATTGTCTTATATTAAGAATACACTGACCTGGTAGGTGATGAAAATCAATAAGTATCAATGATGATTATACAATTCTCACACCATACATTTTATTCAAGACGCATTTCACTATACACTATCTTCATCAGGTGAACTGATAATCAAACTATTCTACAATGTATTTTATATAACAGTAAGTAATTACAAAACTTTACAATGCAAATGATTAATTTTGGTAAAACAGGAAGATTTTGAAATAAAATTTAAAGATAATATTACTTCTAAAAAAAACAGGTAATTTATAAATGTTGATTAGTGGTATTTCACGCCAAAACTTAATTAGATAAATGATTGATTCTGGCATATTTGAAAAAAACAATTACTATACAATATTACTTCTAGGAAAACAGGTACCTAATTTATAAATATGTGAATTATTGACATTTTATGAAAACATTTACAACAATGGTGAGTGTATATATTGTTGGTTGTTCAATAGAAAATTTAAATGTTTCCTTTTTTTGATTTCCAGAGATTCCCCCAGGTTCAATTTGTGTCCCTTAATTTTCTGTATGTAATATGTCGTTGTCCATGTTGAAATCGTGGTTGTTCTCTAAAAGGTTGAACTTTTGGGCATAATCAACAAGTTAGTTAGTAAACCTCTGATTTGTTGTTTTTGTCCATTTTTAACTTATTGTTCTTTATATGCAATAATAATGGAAAATATTTCCGTAAGGTATGCCTTGTTTGTACAGGAGAAGGTAGGTTTCCAAATAAACTAAGTAATTTGTTACCAACAGTTTTATCAAAATAAAAATAAAACTAGATTAATAGTAAATAGTTGTGGAAATTCAGGATGTATGATTCACGATACATTTTATTTTTGAGTGTAAGAATTACAAATGAATGTTTTTATTCGAACGTTATGTTGATGTTCTCCATTATTGTTACAAAAAGACTATATAGAAAGGACTTCCAAGAAATTTCAAAATGAAAATCTCCAAACATAAAAGAAGTTTTGAACTGAAGAAATCCAATTTCACCTATGCTTGATGCAAATATTTAACTCCATTTATACATAAAAACTGACCATTATACATAACTACAACTTCTCAACTTTTTTAAAAAGATGACATGATGAATTGTTGACTCTTACAAATTTTATTCAAGACACATTTTACTAGAGGGTGGTACCCTCATCAGAGGGAATAGTACAAAAACAGCAGTGGAAATTGTATAAGTATTATCATGGATAACAGAAATGAATATTAAATTTTTTTTCTGATGAAAAACATCTGTTCTGGGTTGGTACAGGTAAGTTTGGTAAAACATGTTGAGCAGATACCCGTTTAACATAATTCCGTATTGGTGGTTTTCTGATTTTTTTCCTGTTTGGTATTTATTGCTAGAGAATTTTCATTGACTTTTAAATAAAATTTTTTACTTCCTTATCATTCATTGGAAAAAATTGTACACTGAATTCAAAAACTTAGACAGATGTCTGGACTTATGATTTTTATTGGAACAGTTATTCATCTTAAAATATACTCAGGTGTAAAAGATTTTCATTAATACATCTATTCTAACAAAAAACTCCAACTCACCACAACATGTCCTACTTTTCCTTTCAAAGTAGGACACGTCCAGATGTCCTACTTTTTCTAAATTCTAATTTGAATGTTCACAAATACAGATACTACAAAATAATATTAGAAATATGAAAGTAAAAAAAGTACAAAATTGTAAAACATTTTATTATATAGAAAGGTTACTATCAGCAGTAAATGTACAATCAACAATCTATTTGGAAAATGACAGGTCGACTCACCTTGCATTCCTTCATTGTGTTCATATAGCCTACTGTCTATGCACCCAGAACAAGTGTTGTGTAAACATTCTAGTAATTTAGGATTATCGGTAGCGCTCAGTACTCGATCACAGAAAACGCATTTGAAAGTATAACTTTCCCTTGTGGTAGGACTCTCGACGTGTTGTTCCTCACTCGTAGTCCCATACATATCCTCTTTTGAGATGTCTTTTGGATTTTCGAGGTTTTCATTCGATTCAGATAGTAGTTGATCAATCATCATTTCCTGTGCAGGTGTTAGAGTTTCTGTTTCAGGATTCAAAATGCTTTCGGGGTCCGTGGTTTCCATTGGTAACGCGCTGATAAAATTTGGATCATTGATGAAAACTTTTGGTTCAGTCATATCAGACATGGTGCTTCCTCAGAATGATAGAGGTCATAAACTTATAATCACAGAAAAATCACTTTTACACCTAAATAGTACAAAACATTTATAGGAACTTTATAAATCATAACTTAGCTGGTCTTGAAACCGTTGGGATTTCCTATTTTCAAGCCCTATTTATTTAGTCTTCATTTATGACAGCTTTAATTTCTGCAGACGCCTTCGCTGCTTTTCTGTCACTTTTCTCCATTATGTTCGATTTCATATTCAGTGTTGCCATTGTCGTCATTTCAATCCTAGGGATTTTATCAAGCTACGTTCAGAAACTTAGCAGGTTTGTTCTGGTTTTACGAAATTGAGGTTCTAGGACGTCAGGATCATTCGCAGTTGATATAAAGCGTTCTGGTTTTTGAGGATGAGTTCGGATTGATGAATCCTCTGTTCTGGTTTCGACTGCGAAATGATCCTAAACTGTCTTGAACCGTCCCGAATCGTTCTTGCTCTGGAGGCTGAACTGTTGGGAACTGTTCCCGTTGCTTATGTGCATTCATGTGGAAATTAGTTTGGGCTATTTTCTAGGATGATTCGTTATCCATTTGATTATAATAATTGATGATTGAGGTTGAATAACATTTGAACTGACTACGAGGATACGCTACATAACAAAATGGACGTGACCAACAGTATTTTCTCGTCTTCATCTCTTCATAGGTATATACGATAGATGGCATAGTGTCTCCTCAAAGTGCGTTCTAGTTTAACCAAGTGCACAAGACTGTTTCGGACTGTTTCAGATTTTTTGCTTGTACGCATCATGTCTGGCGCAGTTTCCAAACTGTTTTGGATGTTAGAACCAGAACAAACCTGTTATGATACTGGAGTGGAGCGACTATCGAACATTTTAAGAGTTTCAAAAAGGGAATAAACGAACGAAGTCGGATTGTTTTTCAATATAAAGAGAAAAATGAACAAAAATTTGTCTGTGCTGGTTACTTTTGCTTAGTACTCTATGATTTCAATACCATATTCCGAAAATAATTTTTAAAATTCAAAAGTGATGGTTAAATTACTCTTGCTGGAATATTTCAGCTTTTTAGGTTTTCGTCTATTGACTTTTTGTCTGACGTTAAAGCTACTCACATCTTGTGGAAGTAGTTGTTTCGAAAGTATTTTTTCTTTTTTGTAATTCAATGTTTATAAGAAAGTAGTTGTAGTTTTTCTTCCAGCCTGTTTGCATTCAGCAAAATTAATCTCTCCTAAAAATATACCCCTTTCAATTTGAACCAGTAACTTTGTTTCTTTTGTAACGGGCGTTTCCAAAAATGTTTGTTCATTGTCATTCATCAGCTTCAATCTTCAACCAATGAAAAATACAACCTGAGAAGATGGGCCCGAGTCCGCGCTGAAAAAAAAACACTCCACTTTTCCCGCGCTGAGGAGTGGGTATTCTGTTTATTATTTTGTGCTTATCAGTGATGTTCTTTGGATTTTTTTTACAAAAATTGAAATAGAATGTAGTTGTGACACCATGGAACTGAAGTCCTAAAGTACAATAGTATCTTTATAGTACAATAATACGGCGGATACAGATCATTGCAGAGAGGTTAAGTATAAGTATAGGAGGGGGTAAGAAATAAGAGGCGACTTTAGACGAGATGGTACCTTAAAAAGGGTTTCTGAAAAGTTGAAGTCATTGATTAAGTGACAGCAAATAGCAAGTTTGCTTTTACTCTTACCGAGTGTAAAGTAAAAATTATTTTGTCAGTTTCAATGTTGCTGGTGATTTATCACCAGATTCATCAGATTCACCAGATTCATCATATTCTGTAATATTTTGGTGATTTTTGTTTGTTTATGACAAATTTGAAATTGGAAGAGAAAATGAACGCTAAGCTTGTCGCTCGCATAGCCCGGTAACTGAAAACGACAACCTCGCATTGTTAAAATCGGCATGATGCATAAAATCACACAACTTATACCACTTGTATAGCGTATGATTATATGAGTTCTATGTTCAATCACACATCTTCTGTGTTCTGTGGTTCGGTTCATAATTTCATAATTTAAATGCTAACATTGCTAACTAACCTAACCGTCAGTTTGGTTCATGGTTTATAAACTCTCAAAAATATGTTTTTGCTCCAATTTGAATCCCAAATAAATATCGAGCAGTTCGTTTTTTCTACTTCTTTTACACTAGGTGCAGGAGGGAGACTGTACATCTACCTTTTGATGCTTCGATAACTGATAAATATCCTTATTCTTCCCTCCAGATTTCGATAGCTGTAACCAGGGCTTACATTTCATTACTTACTGATTGATGTTCACTATTATTTTTCGCAAATAATGAAGTATTAATGGACAATGAATTCAACCAATCATATAGCAATGTCTGTCATATACGCAGTCACAAAGATCAATCGAAAATGATGACATTTCCCAATGCACTCCATTTACTAGCCTATTTAATTTGCCTCTTATCTTTCCTATAATTGTCAGAACCACTTCCAACATTTTGACATACTTACTTCTATGATTTTTAAACTTTCTTGAGAATGTGAACAGGAGGGTTGTTCTTCCAAAATTGTTTGTTTCCTTGTTACAAACCTAAATAGTAATTGGTCATGGTGAAAATGAAGAACTCATCTTCCATTGTCTAATATAAATCGATTTGAAATTCCTGAAAAAATATTAAAAGAGATTATCCGAAAATAACAATTTTATTTGAACAAAAAAAACTCAAAAGTTTTTATCTACCTAGAGTGGTAGGTATTTTGTTATTAACTGCTATTTGTTTAATGATTGCGATTTCACTTCGGAGGTTTTGATTAGAAAGGGGTATTGTGAAAGCCCTATGTATCATTGACCTGAATGCAGACAATTTCTGTGAAATCGGGTTAAACGAGTCAAAAGGTATTGTGCAATCTGTGAATGTGTTTTTTTGGAAAATGTTAAAGTCGAGTTTATCATTGATTTTGGATATTGTCAGATCTAAAAAATTTATCTCATTGTTCTCTTCTATCTCTACAGTGAATTTGATCTTATTGTGTAGACTATTGAGGAATTTCAAGTAATGAGATATTTGTCTAGTTGAACCATCGAAGCCTACTAATGTGTCATCTACATATCTAAACCAGAATACAATATGTTTATGGGAAAGACAGTTATTCAAAATTAGATTAGTCTCTAAATTGTTTAGGAATATATCAGCTAGTAACGGACTTATCGGTGATCCCATCGGTAGGCCTGAGTTCTGTATATCAAATGTATTATTAAATTTAAAATAGTTTTGTTTTAAACACGTGTTTAACAGTTCACAGAGTTCACTGTTGACATATGGGTTAGTATTATGTCTATCTAATATGTTTTTAATCAGAGGGGTATATATCGAATAGAATGTGGTGAATGCCCCGCCATATATACAGGCCAAACTGGGAGAAATTGTGATACAAGGTACAACGAACATGTCATTTCGGCTAAAAAATCGTTAATGTACGAACATCTTCAAAATTCGAAACATAAAATAGATAAAGATAATTTAAAGTTCCTACACACATGCGAAAAAGGGAAAACGATGAATCTGTTGGAATCTATAGAAATAAACAGGTCAAAGAAAAATCCCAATTCTATTCTCCTCAACGAACAACTTGATTTGAATAATAGTCCTCTCCTGAACCTATAATCCAGATCCCAAAACCTACATTATATTGAAAGCTTTGTTATGTTCATGGATTTTACAGGTATATGAAACGCAGGTACTCACAGCTTGAGGAAGCAGTACTTAATTTGATTGAAGAACAACCTACTACCAGTACTAGAAAGATTGCTTCCCAGCTAAATGTTGATCATATGACGATATTCCGAATTTTAAAGGAACAACTCTTATACCTTTACCATCTGCAACGAGTACAGGCACTGTTACCGCGAGACTTTCCGAATCGTCTTGAATTTTGCAATTGGATGCTGGGGATGATTAGAAGAAATTGTGACTTTCAGACGACGATAGAATTCACAGACGAATGTAGTTTTTCTCGGGACAAGATTATTAATTTTCATAATTACCACATATGGACTGATGAAAACCCTCACGCTATTGTCGAAACTAAACATCAAGAATAGTTTTCTCTTAACGTATGGCTCGGAGTTATTGGGGATGCTTTAATTGGGCCTCATTTTCTACCTTCTCGATTAAATGGTGAGGCATACGTTCAATTTTTAAGAGAAGTGCATCCAGTACTACTGGAGGAAGTTCTTTTGGGCGTCAGAAGGGATATGTTTTTTATGCATGATGGGACTCCCGACCATTTTAGTCAAGTAGCACGTCAGCATTTAACCGAAACATATGCAAATCAGTGAATAGGTCGAGGAGGACCACAGAACTGGCCCGCTCGATCCCCGGATCTCAATCCTCTCGATTTCTCTATTTGGGGCCATTTACAGCATTTGGTTTATCGTACTCCTGTTCGCGATGTAGAGGACTTAAGAAATCGCATCATCGCTGCGTGCAGGATAATCAGAGAGACTCCAGGAATATTTGAGCGAATACGTGGCTCAATGCGCCGACGTCTAGACGCATGCGTAATGTTTGAAGGTAGACATATTGAACATTTACTATGATTTCTACATGTTGTGTGTTTTGTTATTAATAAATTAGTTTTGTTTATTACCTTTTAATCGTTTAATTGAGGTAATAACTACAAAATAACAATAAATCCAGTTCGCATTTATGACGATATATCTCTGTAGTTGTTCGTAAAATAATGTTTTGCTGCGAACTGGTTTATTTTGGCCAAAAAACCCAAGAGACATTTTTTGTTTAGAATGAAACAGGCTATCGGAAATAAATGTTTGAATGGTAAACAAATAATAAGACGAAAAGTTACATTGGAAATAAATTTTAGGGGTTGCGTTTTCCACCCCTCACAACCATGGGGTAAACCAAATAAATTACTGGCCAAGTGTCTTTCTGTTAGTACAAAACGTCAGGTTAATTTCAATTTGTGACTTTTTCAGTGCTTGTGAAAAAAATTGTTATACACATTTCATGTACCCCCTTTAAGGGTTTGTATCTTAACAAGGGATGCTCCAATGAAGTTTCTTTATATGAAAGATCCTTTTTTTTTTCGATGAGGAATTACTTCCTTGAATGTTTTACACTTATTCAGTTACACCCTGTATAGCAAGGATAGATTTTTTTTTGATTTATTGAAAGTGTTCTTGAAATTTATATTCCTATTCAAAGTCTTGAACAAAGTTCATTGAAGCTGTCTCTCATAATACATCTTCAGATATAATTTCTTACATATTTATCGATTTTTTCATAAAAATTCATCATGTTGGGTTTTTCTTTTTTCGTGAAGTTCATTTTGGTGGATAATAGTGATTCACTGCATTTGAAAACGGCATTCAAATGTGGTAGGTTAAAAAATTATTGCCAACCAATACAGAAAAAATTTTTTCATTGCAAAATCCAGTTTTTTGTAATAACAAAGGAAAATTGAAAGGGATATATTTTTAGGACAGCTTAACCTTGAGGAAATAAAGATTTTAGCTTTCCACTTCTCCATCTTTCTACAGAAAATGTGGGAATCTTCCAAAGGAAGGAAGAAAGCAATCTATTGCAAAATTAACTCTTTACAAAGATATGTAGATCATGTAAAGTAGCTTTCAGGCACAAACTGGAAGAAAAAGTTCTTTTGAAACAACTATCTACTTTTATATGAACTTTGAAATATATTAAAAAAAAAATTCCATTCAGTTTATAATCCAAACTTTCGTTATGAAATTGACTCAGATATTATTCAGTATTGTTACAGAATATCGTATACGGAAGAGGTAAAATTCTATTCACATGGAACCATCCTCAATAGCGGACTTCAATGTTTCAGAATAAAACATTTTTCTTATTGCCACTTCAGTACCAATCTGGATAACATTACAAAGATGTGTTGATCATGCAAAGAAGTGACTCAGGCACAAACTGAAAGAAAAAGCCCTTTCGAAACAACTACTTCCATAAAAACATTGAATCCCACAAAAGAAAAAATACTTTCACATCAACTTTTATTTGAACACTGAATTATACGAAAAACTTTTTTCTATCCAGTTTGTACTCTAATCATCGGTTATGGAATTGATTTAGACATCATTCACAGGATTGCTACACAATATCGTATATGAAAAAGGTAAAATTTCACTAACATGGAACACTGTCATCCTCAATGGCAGATATGGATGTTTCAGATTATACAAAATTAATAACTGCTTTCTTCCTTTATTTGGAAGATTCCACCATTTTTTGTATCAAGAAAGCCAAAACCTTTCCCATAAAAGAAGGGCAACTTTCGACACATCATTTGAAAATACAAAAACATGTTTACGTAAACCGGATTTGTATAAGAATGTGATAATTTTGATATATTTTCAAATAAAGGCGGCAAAAAATCATCTCACGAAATTTCCATTTTTTCCAATATTTCAGGAAATACTCAGAATTTCAAAACTTATTAAGTATGTTGTTTACATAAATGTGCAACTTTGCCCCAATTAATCAGTCTTCCGATCTCCTACAGTCCAAAATCCTGATGGGAAATTTCTCATATTGAGCAATGACAAGTAATATTCAACATATAAATTGTAATTGAAAAAATACTTTTTCTGAGAAAATGTTAAGGATAACATTTTTTGCCATTCTACTACTCCATTACTATATAAAAAACAAAAAACTTCTAAAGAAGGAAAATTATAAATTGTCAATGAAAATATGAATATAAAAATAATTGCTTTCTCTACTGATGCCAAATTATGCAGAAATTATTTTTCTTAATTCAACACTGAATATTGATAGTATTATTATATTTGCATATACTGAAATCACTATTTGAAGAATTATATTTCGGAAAAAAGAGCATGTGTTCGGGAAAAGAAAAAACAAAACAACTGGTGGTTCCAAAATTGTATGACAAAAATATAAAAGTTTATCTTACATTTTGGAATATCACAAAAAATACATTTCTTTCCAAAAGGAGTATTTGCTGCATTTCGAAGCTAAAATATAGTCAGAATGAATTTAAAACAAAAACTTCCAAAATGAAAATTTAAATTATGTATTCAGCTTCAGACATATTTCATAATTTTACGATTGCAGATTCAAACATACATAAAGATTAACAGCTAATTTTTTAAACACATAATAGCAATTGTCGAGCGCTGAAAATTCACCAATTTACAAAAAAGGCAAATGAATTATTTTCAAGAAAAAGATTCAAAATCAAAAAATATTCACTGATATATTGCAAGGTCCACCTCATTTTTCCTCGCACCACTCATTTTCTTTACGTACTTGCTCTTCTTCAGAGGCAGTAAAATCATTCTTAATGTTGAAAGTTTTGCGAATTTCCTCCGGAGCTTTGCCTTTGATCATATTGGCAACAGTTTTGCATGTAACATCCAAAAGTCCCTTGATATCCAGATAGTTCGCAGCTAAAATGAGCTCGAACAAAGTCCCTTGGTCCACTTTCAGGAAGTCTGCGTCCCAAGAAGATATGTCATCTGTTCGCTTCTCTTTGTTTTCATCATCTTCTGGTGGTGGAGGATCATCTTTGTGGTAGGTAGCCCACTGAATCACTTTTCTCAAAATGGCAGAGTTGACATTGGGTAAAGGCACAACTTCTTCGTCCTCGTCGTCCATGCCGAGATCTTCCAACATTGTTTTGATGGTTACTGAGCATTTTGCTATCTCCACATCAACTTCGAATGTTTCTCCATCTGACGACTGAAGTTTAATATGCGGCATCTGCAAAAAATATCAAGTGCCATTAACATTTTCCAAGGCGATGACCTGCAGGCAGATCAATAGACTAAATAATTTGCTTAACCAATCATACTTACTTTTGAATAACTGTCTTCAAAGTGGCGTAGAGAAATGAGTCGAATTATACTTCTCCAAATCTGTGAATTAACACTTCCTCAACTTTTTTTTGTGAACGTCGGAACAACTCAAATACTATTGAAACAACTACCAAGGACAAATGAAAATTTTCACTTATAGAACTACGACACTTCTTCTTCTTCTTTTCGATTCAATGGCTACAGCAACTAAGGCTATCCGGCCAGTTAGTAACGATAAATGTTGTTAAAGCCAAATGTGGCTACACTTAAGTGGACCTTAGGCGGGCCCATCCACAATTGGATTGAAATTACTATTCAGGAATATGTCAAGCACGTCAAGTTAAAAATAATCCAGTTATATCATACAGGCGATAACAATGGTTGTCCATGCACTTCGAAGACATCGCACTAACAAGCACATAGGTTGTTCGCAATATAAGCACACGAGTCCATTCCGAAGGTAAGCATAACTATTGTCAATGGTTTACAATGTCAGCGCAAATCCATCCGTTACATCTTGAGATGGGAGATGGTAAGGTAGCAATTTAATGTCTTTAAGTTATGAATATTCCAATGTTCAAATGAAATATCATGTAACGACAGCGGGCCCTGTTGCTTGTTCATCTTATGGATGGAGGTATGTAATGAACGAATATAATATAAACAAATAAATAGTAGTAACATTAACATAGAAATGAACAATGAAAAAATTGAAATTGTAAAGGAATTTAAATATCTGGGATTTATGTTGGATAATCATTTATTATTTAGTAGCCACTTTGAATATATCAAAAAAATCTTGAAAAAACTGTATTTCATTTGTAGAGAGTCCCAAAACTTGAGTCTGAATTCCAGAATAACTGTGTATAAGTTTGTTAGTCTTATACACAGCCTCATTTTGAATATTGCCCTACATTACTATACTGCTTTGATCTGAATAAAATATCCCAATTACAAAAGCTACAAAATCGCAAGTATTGCGATGTAGTAGGTCAACTCCTATATCATTGATGCTGGATACTTTACAGTTATTTACTGTGGAGCGAAGACTGACTTACATAACTATGATCTATATCTATAAAATGNTACAGCGAAACATCCTGATGCCAATTTTCTTCTGAGTTTTTCAATGTGACTTTCGAATTTCAATTTATCATCTATATATAAACCCAGGAATTTTGTTTCCGACATATAACTTATCACCTGATTTCCTATATGAAGTTCTTGAAGATTACATTTGAAAGTTAGGATGTTAGTTTTTGATATATTGAAAGACAACCTATTAGCATCACACCAATCTTTAACTTTTCTAATATCATTCTCAATCATTTGATGCAATTGTGTGCCATTTTTATCATGCCAAAGTATTGTGGTGTCATCTGCAAATTGAGTGAACTCTCCGGAAATATTAATTGAGGCTAGATCATTTATATAGACTAAGAAAAGGGTGGGTCCCAGAACTGATCCTTGAGGTACCCCCCATTTAATTTCTAATTTGTGTGATAAGTTGCCTTGAATATATCTAATAGCTTTATTTATGTGGTAGCAGTGAAAGTTCACTGAAATTCGAAATCACCACAACGATTAAGGTTGTCGTTATGGTTTAAAATCCAAAAGCAGTCAGATTTTGAGATCTCAAACTTGGCATGAATATTGGAAAAAGATTGGAGAAATCGATGAAAAGATTTATAATGTATTCATGAAACAATACTCAGAAAAAAAAGGGAGAACCGCGGACACTTGGCCTAGAATTTCTAGGATACACCCAACATTTCCACGAAGGCAGTTACAGGTGCCTGCGGGACTTCCGTGCCTGCGGGATATCATTATGAAAAAGGTTTCATGGAGTGTGTATGGTGTGAATAAAAAAAAGAAGAGAAATCACGGAACGGCACTCAGAAAAGTCTAGGTCTCCTAACTGGAACCACAAATGTGAGGTAGGCTCCTGTTGGTAACTCCGTTTATATGTGTTGTTTCCTGTTTTTGGCAACCAAGTGTTGCCCATCTTTACACTTGGCTGTACCGCGTTGATGAGGCCAGTAGCCAGAAACACGTGTCTGCAGTTTGCCCCTCCCTTTTCTGAGTGCTGTTCCATGACATATAACATATTTTATTGTTGTTTCAAAAATAGAATAATAAACAGTTGAACAATAAAGGACACAACATAAAATAAATTAACACATTGAACTACTAACAGTCAAATCATTAAAATAATCAAAATGTTTATAATTTTCTAAACTAATTCTTCATCTCAATATTATACGTCAAATATCAGTATTGCCACTCATGAAACGCCTGAAACATGCGCAACCAGTTTTATGTGAATGGTCAATTTTAGTGATGTGCCGTACGAATCCGCCGTACGGTATTCGAATCATGACTAGATTTCCTGATTCGAGATCAGTGCTCGAATTCTATGTTTGATATTCGAATATTGATTCGAGTCCGGCTGGACTCGAGTCTAGAAATTCGAGTCTGACAATTCTAGTCTAGAACTAGAGTCCGATTTTAGAACAAAAGGAAGAAATGAAAATGAGTCAACTTCAAACAGCGTATAGGTTAGGTTAAGCAGCCCATTAACTTAGCACAAACTGTCAAATTTACCCAAACGGAAAACAACCTTATTATTTCGCTTTAAAATCGATTACAGAAATTTGACGTTATGGCGACTGTACATCGTACCAAAGCCAAAAATGTCGTATAAATACGATTTACATAGTACGGTTGGCAACACTTGCATGAGCGAGTTAACCAAATTTGAATACGAGACTCGAGTCAGTTGGACTCGCATACATTGAATTGAGTTAGCGAGTACGAATCGATTCTTCCTGACTTGAGTACCGGAATCGAGTCCGGCGTACTCGAATCAAAATAAATTGGTATTCGAGTAAGCGAGTTCTAAAGCAGGAATCGAGTCTGACTCGAGTCAAACCGTACTCGACTAGTGAATTTAGTTTGATTATTTTCAGTACGACCATCACCTCAAAATTAACTAGATATAATAAAAGATAGCAAAATTAACGATAAGTTTTTATTATTTTGAAAATGAATATGTGAAATTGTAAAAAACACGTTTGAAATAAATGAAATATCAACATTTATTGAATACATAACCATAGACCTACCTCAACATTTTGTTAAGTTGGTGATAAATGACCCATGGAGAATCAATTGCTGTAATGTAAAATAGTCTATTGTACAATTTCATGATAGTAGTTTTTAGTAATAATTTTAGTCACTGTTAAAACCAAAAGATTTTATAGTAATTATAAAACAAGTATTCAGGTACCTTTAGGATAATGAAATCTCATCCGAAGTTCAAACAAAAAATTTTAAATATTGCATTCCTTCATTTATTTGATTCATGCTTTTTGCAAAGTTGTAAAAATCCGCCTAAAAGCCAAGACGATGAGTTGAGCGTCACAACTTACAGGTAGGCAACCGTTCATAAGATATTGCGGACACAAAGTTGCTGTCATAGTAGGTGGTATATTTTTTTCGCTACAGAGAGATTGAGTCGTCCTTAATGTTTCATTTGTTTTTCTAATTCTTCTCTTTTCCGTTCTGCTTCGCTTTTTCCTAAATATTTCTATAATATTATATTTACCTTTTAACGTGTGATTCCTAACACGGGTTGGACGGTAGCAAGTGAAGATCGATCGTTCAGACTAGGGCTTGAACCACCGACCAACACGGCAGTCAATTCGTGTGAGTGAACAAAGCACCCACGCCGAACCGCTTGGCTACCGACTGACCAAATAGATATTCAAACAACAAAATTTTCATTATCGAAGATGAAGTCCACTGATTATTGAAATTTTTTAGTACCTCTTTTCAACATATTAGTGATTTCATAGTTTTCAAGACATATATGAGAACAATCAGTTCAATTGAAAGTGATATAACAAAAATTATTTGGCGCTCCAGGGTGCATTTTCTTTTTCAGCTGCAGGGAAATCCGGAAAAACCTGTGCACTACATCATCTGAAGATCTTGATCTGCCAATGATCTCACTTATATAGAATGAAATGTAGGGTGTCTCCGGAGGCTCCAATAAATTCAAGATATTGCCAGAATATTTAGTGACCCGACTATCATGAAACTTTCGTTTCGTCTTTGACCATTGCGTAATGAAGACCAGATTCAACGCCAGAACTACAGTAAACAATGTCTGCATGAAGATTATAATAGTGGTCTACTAGATTGAAGTTTTCATCTATTTCGAACCTTCGTAATAGTTTGGTGATTCCGTCAGACATTGGTTGAGTCATGTTCGAAGATCATCAGTGTTACTGTTAGATAGACTGGTGCCTTAGCTATATTTGTTTGTTGTCTCATAATAGTCAGTCAGTTTGGCGCATATTTAGCAATAAAGTTGATCATCACATATATTAAATTCATTTAGCTTTCATGTTTTATATTCCAAAACGTACGGCGCTGTTTCACGGGCAGTGAAATTCTTGCTGCTCCCGCACTTCAACGCAAATCTGTTTAAAAAAAATATGTTCAAAATCTGTTTTTCCGTTAATCAGCTGTCGCCCCCATACGAACGACACCTCTCAGAAGTTGAGAAACTTGTGCGAGCTGAGTACTAACGAGGTCTTATCTTTTAACGTGCACAACGAGAATTGTTGTAAATTCAGTAGAATTTTACCTGCTTATATAAAGGGTGAAAATCAGTGAATTTCAACTTCAAGCAGCAAAATGTGTCATTTGTCATGTATTGTTGGTTACTGAATGAATAATGAATACGTTAGATTTACTGACATTTCTGGGAAGAACGTGTCAGAAGGAATATCATTTTTTGATACCGTTTAACATTTTAATGAAATAGCAAATAGCATTCAAAAAATGAGGAAATTCTCTGCTACTGGAAGTACAAAACATCTGTTTTAGCATATCAATATGTTGTTTTTTTTTTCGATATTAATGAAACCATATATTAAAGAAAGGACTCCCGACTCGAAGAATAATTTTTAGTTATATGCTCATTTTCTGCCTCATGCTTTGTTGTACTTGGAATTTTCAAAGTGATGGGTATTTCAACCTAACAACTGACTTCAACAACCTTTACAATTCGCAGGAACGTCCTCAAAAGAAAAATATACTAAGTTGTTCTGTTTTATTCCATTATTGTATTCTAGCTGCTTGGCGTTTGACAAATCCAACTAAGTACTTCAAG